CGCCTTGCACGCCCGGGATCCCATATGGGCGCCGGTTCTAATCCCGGCAGCCCTGCTTCCCTTCCAGCTCCCTGCCTGTGGCCTGGGAAAGCAGTTGAGGATGGCCCAAAGCTCTGGGAACCTGCACCCGCGTGGGAGACCCCGAAGAGGCTCCTGGCTTCGGATCGGCATAGTATCGGCCGTTGCGGTCACTTGGGGAGTGAATCATGGGACGGAAGATCTTCCTCTCTGTCTCTCTTCTCTGTATATCTGCCTTTCCAATGAAAAAATAATAAAAATAAATCTTAAAAAAAAAAAAAAACAAAAACAAAAGGTCGGGCCCAGGCAGTAGGTTAGCAGCTAAAGTCCTTGCCTTGAACATGCCACGATCCCATATAGGTGTCAGTTCTAATCCCGGTTGTCCCACTTTGCATCCAGCTCTCTGCTTGTGGCCTGGGTAAGCAGTCGAGGATGGCCCAAAGCCTTGGGAGCTTGCACTCATGTGGGAGACCCGGAAGATACTCTGGGCTCCTGGCTTTGGATGAACTCAGCTCCAGCCGTTGCAGTTGCTTTGGGAATGAATTCAGACGGTGGAAGATATTTCTCTATGTCTTTCTTCCTCTCTGTATATTTGACTTCCCAATCAAAATACTACTATTAATATTAATCAATAATGGATCTTTGAAAAATAAAAACAAAGAGTGTAGTCTAAGGACCTGAGGTGTCCTCCACTGCTTTCTCAGGCCAAAATTAGTGAGTTGGATCAGAAGTAGCGCAGCCAGGACAGGAACTTGCACCAAATTGGGATGCTGTTGCTTACAGGCAGAAGATTATCCTATTGTGCCACTATGTTGCCCCACACATTTCCCTTATGCGTGTCAGGAACCCAGCTAATGGAGCCATCCCTGTTGTCTCCAAGGGTCTGCATTAGCTGGAACCTGGAACCAGGAATAAAATTCAGGCATTCAGACAGTGGACTCTTCCTGGCCAGGCTAAGCGTGTTCCTCCTGGTTTTCTCAATGAGTTCAACTTTTCCCCAGACCCCACCTCTATATCAGGTACACTGTAAGCTGCCCAGCCAAAATTTCTCTTAACTCTGGGTCCACTCAGCAAGGAAGCTTGAACAGTCTTACAATGATGGAAGAGTGGCAACAGGATGGTAACTTTAAGAGTTGTGAATAATATAGTAGCATAGTTCATGGCAGACTTCTGCACCAACTCCTTGTACCTAGTGAAATTTGACCCAGGCTCAAGGTGCTTCCTGTGCAGACAATGAGCCATTGCTACCTCGTGTGAATGGCTCTGCCCTGTGGTACCCATGTATCATGGAAAGTTCAGCCTAACGGGTGACACGCATGTTCCTCACCCCTGGGGTCCATGCCCTGCAGACACAGCGCGAGGAGTCCATCAAAAGGCAGCCGAGGCCTCCATGCCAGCAGGCCCGCTCTGGGTCGAGGGTCAGGCTGTGGATACACAGAGGACCACCGCTGGTGCAGGTGCTGTGTGTGAGCAGTCAGGATTCGAACTCCTCACGGGACATGGCCCTCTCCTGCACAGTGTGCCACTCTCGCCACCCAGCCCCTGCTTACAATCCTCCATCTCCCTCTTCCCCCCCTAGTCAACATCCACAAAGTGTAGTTCTCCACTCTTCACGGAAGGCAAGTGTGAAGTCAGTCCTCCATCTCGGACCTCACGCACTCAAGGCCTGGGGTGGCATGGGGCCTGCAAGTCCGCACCCTGGAGGAGGCGACGGGTCCCCAGGGTGGCCGAGCCCCCAGGCCGCACACGCCACCCCAAGTGCGCCTGCTCTCCCTCCCGGTGGCAACAGAGCTTTCCGCGGGGCCGCGCCAGACTTTCCGAGACCTCTGATTGGTCCCAAACTTGGCCGCCGCCAGCCAATCAGGCTGGGGAGAGGTGACATCACTGGTTCTCCTCCCCTCCCCCCACCGCAAACTTCCCTACTCCGCTACCGGCAGCAACAACCACGTGGGGGAGGGGCGAGAGAGTAGAACCGGTGAGGTCATCGCGCCGCCCCAGCCACTGCTGATTGGCTGCGGGGCTCGAGGGTGGCGGTTGGCTGCTCCTCGCACCTCCCCCTCGTGCTGCTACCGCCGCCGCTGAGAGGAGCCACTGGCGACGCCAGAGCCAGGAATCCGGGTGAGTTGGGGCCCTGGGTCTGAGACGCTCCTGATGTCCAGTAACACTCAGTAGGAACTGCCCTTTCAGACTTTCTCTCCTCGCTTGGGCTCTTTGGTGTTCCAGGCACTTTGTCACATGGGAGTTGTAGTCTGCTTAGTGTTGTCAACTATGGGCCAGAGACGTGAAAAGACTACAATTCCCAGGAGGCACTGCGATTAGCCGGTCAACAAACGCTTTGGCCACGCCTTCTAAGCCAGCTCATTGGAGAGGTCTTGCCTTATCCCCACCTTCCCTCATTTCATTGGCTACTGTCCCCCTCAGGGGCTTGGTTCCGGCCTAGGCTGCACGGCGACTGGATACTGTATTCATCATTCACCACGACAGTATCCTGCAATTGGTTGATGCAGATGTCCTTCACGTGTTGTGGGGCAGGGTCCTAGGCAGATCAGGCGGTCGTAGGCTCAGGTTAGTGTCGGTCCGGAGGGAGGCTGTTCTTGCACTTTGGCCCCGCCCCCTAGCGCTGCCAGATGGTTACGATTGGTTGCTGCTTACGTCGCTCTTCGAGGGGAGGCGGAGTCAGTCAGGCTGCGAAAAGCTATTGGCTTAGGCCGGCGCCGGTCAGCGGGGTTGTGGCCGCTGATTGGCTGTTTGCTCCAGCTGTTGCAGGTCCATTCACCATTTTGTGTGTTGGAGTAAAAAAAAAAGGGAGAATCGAGAGGGAGAGCCGGAGGGGGGGCGGGGAGGTACCGGACCGGACCGAGCCGGGGCCAAGGCCCCCGGCCCCGAAACCCCGCCGAGCCCGAGGTGAGGGGCGGGGCCGGGGTTGACACAACAGGGGGGTGTTGGGAGGCTGGGGGCCGAGGGGGGACAGGTGGCAGGACCTGGGAGGAGGGACAGGGGGAAGGGGTGAGCGGAATGGTGGGCAGGGGAGAAGGAGTGGAGGAAGTGGGAGGGGGGACGGGGATAGAAAAGATGACTGGGGAGGGGGGGTGGTCAGAGAAGGGGCATTAAGAATGAAGGGGTGACAGGACTAGATAAGGGTGACAGGGAGAGGGAGGGGGAGAGTTGGAGGGGGTGACAAGGAGAGGTGATGGGGAGAGGTGACAGGTTCAGAGATGGCTGACAGCAGAGTGACCAAGAGTAGTAGGTGACAGAGATAAATGGGGGTGGCAAGGAAGGGGTAACAGAGGAGGGGGCCTAGGGCTCGTGAGGTGAGAGGTAGAGCTTAGAGGCGCTGACAGAATGGGAGAGAGAATGGCAGAGAAATTGGTTCCAGGGGGCTGATGGGAGCAGAGGCAGGAAACCCCCCAAGACCCAGGGCCTGTGCTGAGATCCTGGGAGGATGAGGGAGTGAGGGCCAGGGGCCTTGTAGAGCCCCGGGAGGTGGACAGAGAGAGCCAGTAGGCCCCAGGGGGACAGACAGAGGCTTCCGAGATGGAGAAGTTGGACTAGGTGTTGGGGTTCCGGAGTGCCTCCCAGGGTGTCTATAGGCCCTGGTTGCGATGTGCAAAGGTTTGTGTTTAGGGAGGACTGAGGCCAGATCTCAGTCCCCCAGATGGTGACCCAGCAGCTCAGTGGGGTGGCAGTGATGGCTACCCAATTGCAGGGCACTTGGGGGCCTGGAGAAGGAGCCGGCTTGGGACTGCAGGGACCCCAAGAACAGCAGGCCCCAAGTGGAGAGCTCCCAGTCATGGTCTCCGGGGAAGAGGGGAGTCCCTCTGCTCCTGTGGTGGCCCTTCATCACTGCTCAGGTCTTCTTAGTCACTTCACAGTAAAGTTTTTTTTTTTTTTTCCTCTTCACTCAGGGCAGCTTGAAAGGGGGCGGGCAGTAATGACTGTTCAGGAAGTGGGTGAGGTTGGCCTGTTTGGCTTGTCCGGCTTCCTTTGACCTTATCCCACTTACCCCCACCTGGAGGTGGAGGGCACATGTGGGGGCTGTGGGGGGACTGGCCCACTCAGCCACCCTGCCAGACACAGCTCAGCCAGGGCGGGAATGCATGCAGGCCAGGAGCTGGGCGGGTGTGTGTGTGTGTGTGTGTGTGTGTGTGTGCTGGGCTTGCGGGTGTCGTGCTGGGTGCTGTGGGGGAGGGGAAGAGGCCGAGGCAGGCTCCCATCCAGCAGGCCTGAGAAGCCCTGGGGTACAGCTCCTTGTCCCACTGTGTGATGACGTGAGTGAGTGAGTGAGTGTGTGTGTGTGTGCATGCGCGTGTGTGTGCGTGTACTCAAGCACGCCCCGTGGCAGAGCTGGGTATGAGCTCTTGAACCAGTTGTACCGCCTCAGCCTGCTTCCTTGCCAGGGTCTGGGGACAGGGCTTGTCCCCGGCAAACCTGGGGTGCAAGACAGAGGGGGCAGTTGTGTCTCTCAGGACCCTCTGCTTGCCCTGGCCATGCCAGGCTGCCCAGAGGACTGGAGGAGAGAAAGGCTCGGCAGTCAGCTCCCTGGCTGCATGCACGTGTGCCCCGGATGGTGACAGTGTGAGTGAGCGTGCACACGGAGTCGGGCTGCCTAGATTCAGGCCCTGGCTGTACTGTGTCCAAGCTGGGTGATACAGGACTAGTCCCCTGTCCTGACCCCTCTTTCTGTGACTTGGTTTGCTCAAGGGTGAAATGGGGCTGGTAGTAGCATATGCAACCCCCCCGTCCCCAGAGCTGTGGTAAGGATGTAGTGAGTTGGCCAAGGCAAGCCCAGCATGGGTCACTGCAGCACCCGTGTGCTGTTAGCGCTTCTTGCATCCCCTTGGGGCAGGCAGAGCTCGTGTCTGCACATCCTATGCCCTCTGCAGAGAGCAGTCATGTGTGAGTGACATTCCGGGTCTAGGTGCCAGCTAGAGGCCCACATGCATCCAGGGCCACAAGGGGGAAACCGTGGGCATGGGATGGTAGGACTGAGGTGGTGGGCTCAGCAAATGAGCAGTCTTGGGGGACCCTGGGTTGCTCCCGATCATCCTTCTCTACTCCTGCACTCTGCAGGTGGACAGAAGATGAAGCCGATGAAGAAGGCATGCAGCAGCCTTTCGGGGGGTCTCGGCAGCGGCAGCAAGTCGCCACCAGCCACCAGGGCCAAGGCCCTGAGACGGCGAGGGGTCGGGGAGGGTGACAAGCCTGAGGAGGAAGAGGACGAAGCCCAGCAGCAGCAGCAACCAGGGCCAGAAGAGGCTGAGGAAGGCGAGGAGGAAGAAAGTGAGCGAGGAAGCCCTAAGGCCGAGGGGCCGCCCCCAGAGCTGCACCCTGGGGACCCAGCCTCAGGTCCGACTGAGGACCCCAAGGGGGATGGGGAAGCTGGCCGCTGGGAGCCCTCACTCAGCCGCAAGACAGCCACATTCAAGTCTCGAGCACCCAAGAAGAAGTATGTGGAGGAGCATGGGGCTGGCAGCGGTGGGGTGTCTGGGGCTCCGGAAGAGCAGGTACGGACACCTGAAGAGGCCGGGGCACTGGGTGTGCCTCCACGGCCGCCCACCTCGGCCCGCTCTTCCTCCACGGACACAGCCAGTGAGCACTCTGCGGACCTGGAGGATGAGCCGGCTGAGGCTTGCGGTCCAGGCCCCTGGCCTCCCAGCAGCACGAGTGGTGGCTATGATCTGCGGCAGCTGCGGTCCCAACGCGTGCTGGCCCGACGCAGCGATGGCCTCTTCCTGCCAGCTGTGGTGCGCCAGGTGCGCCGAAGCCATGACCTGGGCGTGCAGTTCCCTGGTGACCGGGCCCTGACTTTCTACGAGGGTGTGCCCGGTGGAGGGGTAGATGTAGTTCTGGATGCCACACCGCCACCTGGTGCACTGGCAGTGGGCACAGCTGTCTGCACGTGTGTGGAACCTGGGATGGCTGCCTACCGTGAAGGTGTGGTGGTGGAAGTGACCACCAAGCCAGCTGCCTACAAGGTCCGCCTCAGCCCTGGGCCCAGCTCCCAGCCAGGCCTGCCGGGCTCTCTCCTGCAGCCCCCACAGCCATCACACCGAGAGCCAGAGGAGGCCATATGGGTGGCCCGCTCCAGCCTGCGTCTCCTGCGGCCACCCTGGGAGCCGGAGGCTCTGCTGAGGAAGCCTCCTTCTGGCCCCGAGGAAGGGCAGGCTGAGCCCGGGGTCCCCCTGCCGCCCTGCCCTGCTGTCCTGGACCCCAAGCAGCCCGAAGATGCTGAAGTCTCTAAGATCAGCTTTGGCAGTGGCCTGGGGGCTCCCTGCGAGGAAGGTGAGGAGAAGCACCCGCCAGCCCTGGGCACCCCGGCCCTACATCCACTGCCCCCACCCCAGCTTCTGTCGCCGCCACCCAAGTCTCCAGCCTTTGCAGGCCCTGGGCGCCCTGGCGAGCAGCCCTCGCCATGCCATGAGGGCAGCCAGGGTGGCAGCCGGAGCAGCAGCGTGGCATCCCTGGAGAAGGGGGCTGCGCCGGCCACCCGGGCCCGCACACCGTTGACAGCTGCCCAGCAGAAGTACAAGAAAGGTGACGTGGTGTGCACCCCCAATGGGATTCGGAAGAAGTTCAACGGCAAACAGTGGCGGCGGCTGTGCTCACGAGATGGCTGCATGAAGGAGTCCCAGCGGCGGGGTTACTGCTCACGCCACCTGTCCATGCGCACCAAGGAGATGGAGGGACTGGCGGACAGTGGTCCGGGTGGAGCTGGGCGGCCGGCCGGCGTGGCAGCCCGGGAGGGCAGCACTGAGTTCGACTGGGGTGATGAGACATCACGTGACAGCGAGGCCAGCAGCGTGGCAGCCCGTGGAGACTCGCGTCCACGCCTGGTGGCCCCCGCGGACCTGTCACGCTTCGAGTTTGATGAGTGCGAGGCAGCGGTGATGCTGGTGTCCTTGGGCAGCTCTCGCTCAGGCACGCCCTCCTTTTCTCCTGTTTCCACGCAGTCGCCCTTCTCGCCAGCCCCGTCACCCTCGCCCTCGCCCCTCTTTGGCTTCCGCCCTGCCAACTTCAGTCCCATCAACGCCTCGCCAGTGATCCAGCGCACCGCAGTCCGCAGTCGCCACCTGAGTGCCAGCACCCCAAAGGCAGGCGTGCTGACGCCCCCCGACTTGGGCCCCCACCCGCCACCACCCACCCCCCGAGAACGCCATTCCTCTGGCATCCTTCCCACCTTCCAGACCAACCTGACCTTCACCGTGCCCATCAGCCCTGGGCGGCGGAAGACGGAGTTGCTGCCCCATCCAGGGGCGTTGGGAGCCCCTGGCACAGGGGGTGGAGGTGCTGCCCCAGATTTCCCCAAGAGTGACAGTTTAGACTCTGGTGTGGACTCAGTGTCTCACACCCCTACACCGACTACACCGGCTGGCTTCCGAGCTGTGTCCCCCGCCGTGCCCTTCTCTCGCTCCCGCCAACCCTCACCGTTGCTGCTGCTGCCTCCGCCTGCCGGCCTGACCTCGGACCCAGGGCCCTCCGTGCGCAGGGTGCCCGCCGTGCAGCGGGACTCCCCAGTCATTGTCCGCAATCCTGATGTGCCACTGCCCTCCAAGTTCCCAGGGGAGGTGGACACTGCCGGTGAGGTGCGGTCTGGGGGACCTGGGCGGGGCTGCCGTGAGACCCCGGTGCCCCCCGGGGTGGCCAGCGGAAAGTCTGGCCTACCCCCACCTCTGCCAGCCCCCGTGCCCATCACTGTGCCTCCAGCTGCGCCGACTGCCGTGGCCCAGCCGATGCCCACCTTTGGCCTGGCTTCTTCGCCCTTCCAGCCCGTGGCCTTCCACCCCTCTCCTGCCGCTCTGTTGCCCGTTCTGGTGCCCAGCAGTTACACCAGCCATCCTGCTCCCAAGAAGGAGGTCATCATGGGCCGCCCTGGGACAGGTAAGAGGCGCCCAGGAGGTGGGCCGAGTAGGGGCACACTTTGAAGAGGGCCACTGGGTGAACTGGGCTATTGGGTGCGAGGTTCTCAAGAGGTGTGTGTGTGTGGGGGGGGTTGGTAATTGACCCCTCTCTGCACAGACATTGCAGTGGGAGTTTGTAGAGTCAGGCAAGGAGCTGGACTTGTAAGGCTGGGTGTGCCCCTGCCTGACTTCGTGTTGGGGAAATGTGCTTTCAGGAAAGGAGGGGGCTGTCAGTCAGCAGACCTCTGCCGAGTATAGACCCTGGGTCTAGCAGTAAAGAGAGACGGACCGTCAGGGTGACTCCTCCCCTGCCTGCGGTGACAGGGTCGGGCATGGCTGGGATGAGCCCTGTGCAGTTACCCCTCCCAGGTTTCACACCTACCCATAATGCAGCACTGACTACACCTGCCCGAGTCTGGAGCCTCCTCACATGCTGGTATTAGCTCATTTTGTGTTAACAACTGAACACATCCTGTTTGTTTATAGGGAACTGAGGCCAGGTTAGTAACTTGCCCAGGGCCACGTGATTAATATAAAATTGGGGCGCCTTCAAACCCAAGCAGGTTGCCCATAACTGCTTAGCTGTAACAAGGGAAGACAGATGATCCGTGGGAACATAGATCCTGCTGCAGGTCCTTTGCCAGGAGGTGGCAGGGCCAGGATTGGAGGACCTTACTCTTACTCTTGTGACCAGTGAGCGTGACAGGTGCAGGCAGGGCCGTGAAGGGGAGTTTGGGGGTGTCCTAGGCTTTCCTCCAGGTGTGAATGCAGTCTGGTTGTCCTCAGGACACAGTTGAAGCATGAGGTGGAATCTGTAGCCATAGGTGGAGGGGCGTCCTGATGGGTCGCTCCTTGGCCTGGGCAGAGTGGCATCATGAAAATGGGGCTGGCAGTGCCACGAGCAGCCCCTCCCATGGCATCTTTCCTTTTCGTGTGACTCTGGCTCTGTGCTGCAGGGTGCTGTCACAGTCCCTGAAGCAGCCTGCCCAGGGATGGGGTGTAGGGAGCCCAGAGGCTGTGAGGCCAGGGAAGGGGGCAGCTGAGCCTGAGAAATCAGGAGGGCTTTGGGGAGAGGCAGCCAGGACCTGTGGTTTGAGGCACACAGGGTGAGCAGACAGGAGCCTGGCTCAGGCAGGCAGGTGGGCACCTTCAGGCAGAGGGAAGTCTGTGCAAAGGCCTTGGAGTGAAAAGAATCGGTTCTGGCAGATGGCTGAAGGCTGGGATGTGTGGCTGGAAACAGGTGGGCAAGGGTTGGCTCAGCAAGGACAACTTGGGAGGCTTGTGAACTTGACCCAGAGAGCATAACAGAGCTGTGGAAGGCAGAGCTGATGGCTGTGTCTGCACGAGGCAGGGTGGGTGGGGGGAGGCTCTGAGACCAATAGCAAGGATAGAGGAGAGGGCTGGGAGGCGGGTTGTAAGCTGCTGGGGTTGGCACAGGGACCCCTTCAGGACCAAGGCCAGACCCTGCCCTCTCAGCTCTAAGCAGGCACAGCCCCAGAGCCATGGCACAGGGATCCCAAGGGTGCAGCACCTGTCCTTCTGGGTCATAGACAGGGACCATGAGCTGTGTGCTCACCCTGGATGCCTTGTACATTTGCTCCTGTGGTTGATGCTACGTGAGGGGACTTGGGTCTTTAGGCAGATGCAGGTCCCAAAGCAGGGGCTCTCGCTCTTCCTTTTCCCTCTGTCCAGCTGTGGGATTGTCACGCCCAAGGGTCACGCTAGTCCCACCCGCTGAACACTGGGGCATGTACGTACCACGTGTTCTGTTCATGAGCCCTGCTTCCTTCACTGGCTGAATCCCCATGGTTCCCCTGGAGGAGGAACCTGCAACCCAGAGCAGTACAATGACTGGCCCAAGGTCACCAAGCTAGGAAGAGGGAGAGCGTGCTGGGATTTGAACCCAGGCACTGTCAGTGATGAGGATGATAAGAGCAACAGTAAACCCTTTCTTTGTTGCATGGTCGGGGACCATGTGTGCTGCTCTGGGCTTGGGGCCATTTGATCAAATGCACCTGATACTCTGAAAGCAAAGATTACCAATCCTGTTGTCTCGGGAGAACAGAGGTTCAGGGAGGGAGGAGGCCCCTTGCCGGAGGCCACACCTGGTTGTCGGGACTTGCTGAGTGCCTGTCCTGGCGGTTCTGAGCAGCGCCTCCATGGCGGACAACACCCGTGCGCCAGGCTGCCTCAGGGGGGTCGGGCGGCCCCTTTCATTCTCCTCCCAGAAGCCTCCCTCACTCCTCAGGAGGTAGGCAGCTCGGGGCCAGTCCTCTCTGAGGTCCAGATAAGGCTGATTGTGTCCAGTGGCACCAAGAGGCTGCTGTGGTCCTAGCCCCTTCTGCCTGCCCATGCCTGTGCCAGGGCCTGACCCTCCCATCAGAGGGCAGCAGGTGTGAGGGGGTGGCCCAGGGCAGCCTGCCTGCTCTTGCCCCCTCCCCCCCCGCCAGGCATTTGCTTCCGCTGGGGGACATGCAGGGGCAGGCTGCCGGCATTCTCCACATTCTACGCATGGCACCGCCAGCCAGCTGCCAGCGCCACCTCCCCTCTGACTCCTCCCACGCCTGCTCCTTGGGGAAGGGAGCCGGCCCCAGGGGCCTGTAACCCCGGCCCAGGGGGATGCCACAGCACAGCCCTGCTCCTGACAGGCACTGCCCCCTCTTCCCGGGGCCTCTGTCTGATGGGCTCTCTGGTCTCTGGGTCCGATCTGTATCTCTGGCCTTGTGATGCTCCTTCTTGTGTCTGGCTGCTTATCTGGGTTTGTCACTCCCTGGCCATCAGTCCTTGTCTGAGCTTCCAGCCCAGCTTCTTCCTGGCTCAGACCAGCCGTGCTCCCCCTCTCCCTCGGTCCCCTTCTCATTTATTTAGTCTTCCTGTCCCATTCCAGCCTGCTGCTCCTGCTCAGGTACCCAGAGTTTTGGAGTGAGTGAGCAGTTCCTAGGCACTGGGTCCCTACTCCTTCCCTGAGGAGTGCCAGGAATCAGCCAGGACCTCCCCTCTGTCCCCTCCCTGACAAGTCAGACGCCCACTGGTGCCCCTCAGAGTGGCTGGGAGGTGTCAGGATCCATTTTGCTAGGCCCACCCGCCATCCGAGCACCTGTTCCCAAGTTAGGCAGGAAGGCGGGGGCTGCAGGGAGCGTGTCAGGAGATCCGGCTGCAGGGGGTGGGTGGCAGGAAAGCAGCTCTGTGCCCACCCACCTGCTGCAGGGCATAACCCAGCTCACCTCCCTCCACCCGCTTTCAGGAGATGCATTTGGTGCCAGCTCCATTGATGTAGGTGGCCCCAACAGATAGGTCTGATACAGGGCAGCACTCAGCAACTATGCCTGGTCAGGTGAGGAAAATGAGGCCTCAAGGGCCTCCCAGATCCAGGTTCTGCCTTCCCTAATTTCTGCTTGCCTCAAACCATGAACCACCTCATCCCTACCGTGAGAATTCAGCTCTGTTCCTCTGCCCCAGCAGTCTTGGGCAGGTATAGGGGCAGGCAGGCACCTGCAGGGATGCATCAAGGGGATCTTGGGAGGATAGGGATGCCTCAGGGGTTCCAGGGAGGTTCCCGTAGGCTTCTCGTGGGAGGCGGCGTTGGAACTGAAGCGTGAGGAATGATCTCAGGAGTGAACAGAAAGAAAGGGCAGTCTTGGCCAAGGCCCTTGGAGAAGCAAAGTCCAGGAAAGGTAAAAGTGAATGAGCTCTGGGCAGCTAGTGAGGATCAGGGCTGCCCCCAGGCCCTACCAAAGGGTGCTGAGCAAGGACACCCCTGAATGCAGGGGTGAGGAAGAAGTGTCTGAAGGCTCTGGAGATTGTCCTGGAGAGGAAGGAGGGGGTCTGGAAGAAGAGGACGGTGTCGGGGACAAAATGAGCCTGAGCGTCGGGGGTCATCTTGGTGACTCGGTGGAAGCCACGCCAGCTCCCCCGGCTGGGCTGCCCGCCGCGCCAGGCGCTGCGAGGGGCGAGGCTGCCCCCTGGCGGCGCCGGCGGCGGGGTAACTGGCGCGCGCATGCGCAGCCGGGAAGCAGGGCGCGGTGCGGTGCGCGTCCTGGAGCCCCCGGCGCCCGGACATTAATGGTTCCATTAGTGGCCGGGAGGGAGGCGCATTAGCGGCGGCGACGGCGTCTGGCTCCCATTACCACCGGCGGCAGCGGCTGCACCGCAGGCGGCTGGACCCCAGCCCGCCGCCGCCTCCGCCCGCACCCCGGCCCCTCTTCCCGCTCCCCACGAGGGCCCAGGCAGGGAACCCCTGTTGTAAGTGGACTTGGGTTCCAAAATCTCAACCTGCCACCGCCTTTCTGAGCTTATTTTCCCCCAACTGGACGGGTAAACAGGGTGCACCTGGGCCTTTATGGATCCGGTCGGGCACCGGGTGAGGGCCGCGCCCAGCCCACGCCGGCACCTCGGGGTTCCCGCGCGCCCCCGGGGCTGGGCCCCCCACGTCCAGCGGCGGGCCTCGGCCCTCCCTATTGGCTGTCCTCGCGCCCGCCGCCCGCCCATTGGTCGAGGCCCACTCCCCCGCCCCGCGCCTTTAACCCCTGCGCAGCCGCGTCCTGGCCGGGCTGGGGGCGCCCCCGACAGACAGCGCGGGTGCCAGCTGGCCCGTGCCCCGCCGCGGCCCGCGTGGGTGTCAGGCCGGCCGGGCGCCCGCCCGCCCTCCCAGCACAAAGCGGCTTTGTGGGGCCTGCCGGGGGGCTGGCGGGGAGCCAGGCGGCGAGTGGAAAATCTCGTGAGCGCACGCCGGGGAGGGGCGCGCTTGGGCGGCGCCCCCTCCTCTGCCCGGGCTGGAGCGCCTCCCTCCACCCGCGCCCACCACCAGGCTTTCCAGCACCCACCCACCCACACGCCCCTCTCCCCACCCATCTCCCAGTCCCGGGGGACCTTCTCTCCTGGTCCTGCTGCCTCCCCCAGCCCCACTCACACTGACTCACTCGGGCGCTATTTTTAGCCCCATCCCTGCCTAGCCGCGCGCGCCAGCCCAATCCCGGGCTTGTTCCCCAGGCAACCCTGGCCGTCGCCGACGCCGGGCCGGGGTGGGTGGGTGTGTGTGTGTGTGTGGAGAGCGGGTGAGGGGAGCTGGGGACACGAGAGCCGGGCGGCCGGCGGGAGGTGGAGGGAGCCGTGCCTCGCGGGCCCAATAAAGGGGCGCTCCCGGTGCTCAGAGCCAGTCTGCCCTGTCCCTGTGTCAGGCAGGCCTAGCTGGTGGCCGCAGGACTCCGGGGCTCCGGGCAGGCCTCAGCCTGTGTTGCCTAGGGTGGCTGTTGGTGTGTCTGTCTGGACTGACTACCTGTCCCCAGGCCCCGGGTGGGAGGGGCAGTGTAATGGGAGCTGTTTGGGGCCAAACTTTTTTGTAGATTCAGTCGGTTGGATGGGGTGGGGTAAGGGGTTACCTGCCTCGAATGAAGGGCGGTGGTGTGTGCCTTCACAGCTGGGGCTGGGGCCCCGCTTGGGGAAACATTTTCCAGCTTAGGGAGGCCCAGGGTTGGGGCTGGGGAGAGGACCTGCCCCTTCCCTGCCACCCACCCCCACCCAGGGCTCCTCCACCCTGAACAATGGAAGCTAAGTATAGGGCTGGCCCTGTGCCCAGGAGTCCAGATTCCCGCCCCTCCCTGCCAGGCTGGGTCCCCCCCCTCCGGTTATACCCTGCCCCAAAAGGGGCCCCTTCCCATCCCTCCTCCCAGGCACTGTGTCTTTTGCCAGATGTGCAGCTCTCCCAGATGTGAGGGGCCCTCTCCTGTGGCCTGCCCAGCTTCTCTTCAGCCAGCAGAAGGGGAGGGGGAAGGGGTTAACGTGCCACTAGGTGACTCACTCACCGGAGAGGGTGAGAGGAGGGGGCAGCGGTGGGGAGATAGCGGACACATTGATTTCTGCAGTCCCTGGGGCAGTGAGGTAATGGAGGGTCTGCAGAGGAGGGGGCAGTCACCTAATAGTCCCTCCGGGGCCCCTGCAGGCTTAGACAAGCGTCTGGCCCCCCACAGTCCTTGGAGGTCAGAGTGCTACAGACTGTCCTTTCCCCCTTTGCCCTCAGAAACCCTGTTTTTTCTTTTTCCCCTTCTCTGTGTCTCCCACTCTCCAAAAAGAAAAGAAAAAAAAAAAAAAAGATGGGGCACTCTGGGAAAGGGGCCTGTCTGTTCTTCGTGACCCCATGGCCTCTATCCCCCCAGTGCGTTGGCCCGGCCTGGGCATCTTGGCCTGGTGGGCCCCCACGCCTGTGCCTGTGGCTCCTGGGGTGCGCTCCCAGCCTTTGTGCATTCACCACTCTCTGGATCATTGTCTGACCAGTCTACGGGCGTGTGCACCACGAGGCTGAGATCGGAGCATCTAGGTGTTGCAGGGCTGAGGGCACGACCAGTGTGTTCTGTCCTTTTCTCACCTGACAGGGGCAGGATAAAGCCAGCTCCCCAGGTGGGTGGGCAGAGGGTGACGACAACAAGGTGGTGCTATTAGGAGGTGTCTGGAGTGGCCGAGGAATGCCTGGCCCGGTGGCTGAATGACCATGGGTGGCCAGGGGGCCTGGCTTTGGTACTTGGAGGCGGCAGTTCCTGCCCACGAGGTGAAGTTTACTGAGTGTAGTAGGGCCAGCCCGATGCTGCCTGAGAGAAAGAGCGCGAGCTGGCCTGTGGAGAAGAGAGGGGAGGCATTGTGCGAGTGCCGGGAGGGCTGAGTGTGTGTGGCCTGTCGCATCCCTGGTGGGTGTGGGCAGGGCATGTGACAGGGCAGCATGGTCGGTGCGAGCAGGTGTGGCAGTGTGGGCGGAAGACCGAGGGTATCTCTGCCCTTGGGGTGTGCAAGAGCTAATGGGTGTGGCGCGGGAGCGCTGTCAGCATTGTGTGTGGAGTTGTAAGGGCTCGGGGCTGGGCGCCCGTCGTCGCCCGGTCCCCGGCCCCGGCCCCGGCCCCCGGCCCCCGGCCCCGGCCCCTCCGAGCCCGGCCTCCGCAGCGCGGCTCCCGGACCGGCCCCCTGGCTCGCTGCCTTTGCTGCAGTGCGCCCTCCCCGCCCCGGCCGCCGCGGTCCCGCCCCCAGCCGGCGGCCGGCCAACCGGGGCCCGCCCCGCCCTGCCCCGATTTGCATATGACTGACGTTCCCCCGGGGCGGCCAATGGGGGCGGGCGCGGCGGGGCCTGACCCGCGCGCGGCGGCGGCAGCCAATGGGCTGGCGCGCGGGGGGCCGGGCTTGCGCGGAAGGCCGCGGGGGAAGCGGGGAAGGGGCGGGGGGAGCGCGGGGGGAGGGGAGCGCGTAGTAGTGGCGGGGCGGGGAGGCGGCGGGGCTTCGGCGTGTGGGGCTCGCTCGGAGCGCGCGGACGCACGCACGCCGGTCCGTCTGCCCGGAGGTCGGCCCGCCCGGCGCTGAGCCGCGGGGCTCGGGACCCGGCCAGGCGGGGCGGCGGCGCGGGGCCGGAGCCGTTACCCGCCGGCGCTGCGAGGGAGGGCGGGCGCGCGCGCGCGAGCGAGCGGCGGGGCCGGGAGGGGGCCGCCCCCGCGCACGCGCGCCGGGCCCTGCGCGGGAGGAGGGAGCGGGAGGGGGCGGCGCCGAGGCCCCCGCGCCGCGCGCCCCGTGACGGCCCCCGCGCGCGCCGGGGGGCGGGGCAGGCGGGGCCGGCGCGCTGACCTCCCCCGCCCCTGGGGCGGCGGGCGGCCGGCGGCGCTGTGCGCAGGCGCGCTCGGCGGAGACCCCCGCGTGGGGCCGCCGGAGGGGGGCGGCGGGGGGGGCATGCGGCGACGGCCTCCCGCTCCCCCCGGGCCCGAGCGGCGGCGGCGGCCGAGGAGCCGGCTGCGGGCGAAGCGGCGGCCGCTGAGGAGGTGCGCGCCCCTGACGGGCCCCCTCGCGCCGGACCATGTATTCGGCCCACAGGCCCGTGATGCCCGCGTCCGGCGCGGCTTCGCGTGGTCTCGGCATGTTCGGTCAGTAGCGCCCTGGGGCCCTGGGACTGCAAAGGGGTCAAAGTGTCGGGGTGCCAAGTGCGGGAGTGGATGCTGGTGGGGGTGTTAGAAAGAGTAGGAGGACGGGAGAGGTGGAGTGAAAGGGTGAAAGTTAGGGAGCTCGGCCAAGCCGAGTGGTTAGTGTCGGCAGGTGGGAGTGGATGGGAGCGATGGAGTGAGGAGTGGGGCGTACCTGGGACAGGTGCGGTGTTGGAGTGGTGGCATGGAACAGGTCCGTGGTAATGAAAGGCAGAGGGATGCAGCGATAACAGGAGCGACACGAGACTTGTGTGTTGTAGGTCTGGGATGGGGTCTGGGAGGGGTCTTGGACCAACCCGTGGGGCCAGGGACCTGGCTCTGGGACTGAGTGAGGAGCTGCTTGCTGGGAACTGAGCAGTGTTGCTTGTTACACTGGAGAGTGGACAACAGTGTGCACCAGGTTTGCCCCGGGGAGACTTCCAGCAATGGGCAGGACCAGAGACTGCCCCCATTGTCTCGGGGGGCCCTGCTTCTCCACTTCTCAGGGAAGGAGAATGACTGTGTGAAGATGGGGAACAGAACTTGGGGGAAGAGGGGGCCCTCCGGGGAAAGGGTGGAGGGTTTAGCAAGCCTTTGAGCTCCCGAGCGCCCTAAGGTCAGCGGACCCGACTGTCACAAGGAATGCCCCTCTGCTGGCGGCTGAGCTCTGTTCCTGGTTCCTTGAGGTCTTCTCTTTTCTTTGTCAGCCCCTCCTGGACTCCCGCCCCTCTGGTGGCCAGTCCAGGCTTCCCAAGGCCTGTGGTTGGCGGGGAGTGTCACCTCAGGTCAGGTTGGTGTGACCCAGGGGTTCAGGGTTCAGGCCTGCATAATGGAGACCAGGGCTAGGGCGTTTCCCTCCTTTCTCAGTCTCCCCTGAGCAGGGGCCTCCCTCTCTATGCTGCTCTCCCTGCTGGTCCCACTTCCCCCCAGGGAGCCAGGGAGAGGGGGAAACCACTTCCCAGCCTAGGCCTGCGCCTCAGGTGCCCATCCCCAGGGGAGCTGAGCCCAGGACCCTGTCTTGCCACCCAGCTCCCCGGGCCGCTGTGTAGACCCCCTGGGATAGCCCCCTGCTGCCGGAAAAAGAGAGCTTGCTGTGTATATCCTCAAGGAAACACCTGGCACTTTGGCCTCCTCTGGGCAGATGTGTAACAATTTTCCTCTGCCCTATTGTCTTGTGCCTGTTCTTGGGAAGTTTACAGCTCACTGCTGTCTTTCTGGGCAAGGGGGCTGGACCCTTTAGAGGGAGGCGGGTGGTGAGGCCTGTTCGTGAGTGGAGGCTTTTCTGTGTAGGGAGGGTGGGGGCAGAGCATCTGGAGCCACCTGTGCCAGTGCAGGGTGCCCCGGTCTGGTGCTCCGGCATCTCTGGGGGAGGAAAGGAGGAGAAACAGGGCCTGTAGACCCCAGGCTGTGGCTAGCCCACAGCTCCATGGGGGTATGCTAGAGAACAGGAGGGAAGGGAACATGAGGCTAGCGGGAGGGTGCTGGGAGTGGGGCGGGATGGGAAAGGGCCCTGAACCTGGCTGAGGTCTCTTGCCTGAAGAGGGTGGGTGGGATGGCATCGGGTGGGACCTGATTTGTGGCTGGAACTGGTCGTTGCTCTGGCCTGGTCCCTGGTGGCAAGGCTTGTGGAGAGTGTATGGGGGGGGAGGAAGAGGGTGTGACTTGTAGCCCCCTTGTTGCTTGCTTTTCTATTACCTTTGTGTATTTTTTTTTCTTTGCTTTTCTATTTTATCTTGCTTTTTTCTTCTCCCCCCTCCCTTCTTCTCTTTAGACATCTAGGAGTCCCTGGGAGGCCTATGGGGTTTGGGAGAGAGTGTGAAGAAGGAGGTGGGAAGGGGCACAGTTGGGGTCAGGGCCCGGTTCTATGGCCGTGCAGCTCAACTGGCTCCTTCCTGCAGTGTGGACGAATGTGGAACCTCGCTCTGTGGCCGTGTTTCCCTGGCACTCCTTAGTACCCTTCCTGGCACCCAGCCAGCCTGACCCCTCTGTGCAGCCGAGTGAGGCCCAGCAACCTGCCAGCCACCCGGTAGCTTCCAACCAGAGCAAAGGTGTGTGTTGGGACATGGACCATGGGAAGGCTATGGGGTGGGGATGTGGTCTTGGTGTCCCAGGAGCCCTCTGATACCCCTCTGTGCCCCCCACCCCCAGAACCTGCTGAGTCGGCAGCTGTTGCTCACGAGCAGCCACCAGGCGGGACGGGAAATGCTGACCCTGGGCGGCCCCCTGGAGCCACGTGCCCTGAGAGTCCAGGGCCTGGACCCCCGCACACTTTGGGGGTGGTGGAACCCGGCAAGGGTCCCCATCCCACCACTGAGGAGGAGGCCTCTGGCCCCCCTGGAGAGCCTCGGCTGGACAGTGAGACGGAAAGCGACCATGATGATGCGTGAGTGTCCCAAGGCCTGGGACTGGAGGGCAGAGTGGCCAGAGACAGGGCCCTCACTGCTCCTGCCCCTCTCCTTCCCCACAGCTTCCTCTCCATCATGTCTCCCGAGATCCAGTTGCCTCTGCCACCCGGCAAGCGCCGGACCCAGTCACTCAGCGCTCTGCCCAAGGAGCGGGACTCATCCTCTGAGAAGGATGGACGGAGCCCCAATAAGGTGCCTGGCCTCCTCCTGTCCCCTGCTCCCCATTGTGGCCAGCCAGATGTGCCTCTCCATTCCTAACTGTCTCACCCTGGACTGTGTTTGCTGCAGCGAGAGAAGGACCACATCCGGCGGCCCATGAACGCCTTCATGATCTTTAGCAAACGGCACCGGGCCCTGGTCCACCAGCGCCACCCGAACCAGGACAACCGGACCGTCAGCAAGATCCTGGGCGAGTGGTGGTACGCCCTGGGGCCCAAGGAGAAGCAGAAGTACCATGATCTGGCCTTCCAGGTAACGCCACCTCCTCTCAGTGCCTCCTGACTTCCCCCTTGTGGGTTGGGTGAGTGAAGGGTCGCCCTGCCTGCCCTCTCCTGCCAGGTGAAGGAAGCCCACTTCAAGGCCCACCCAGATTGGAAGTGGTGCAACAAGGACCGAAAGAAATCCAGCTCGGAGGCCAAGCCCACGAGTCTGGGGCTGGCAGGAGGGCACAAGGAGACGCGGGAGCGGAGCATGTCGGAGACGGGCACTGCCGCTGCCCCCGGGGGTTAGTCAGCCCCTCGGCTTGCCCCCTGTCTGCTCCTCCCTGCCCCAGAAGCTTCTCCCTGCTCTGTTGCTTTGCTCTGAGGACTCTCACCCAGTTGTTTCACATGAAGGAGCCAGGAGGGTCCAAATGGCACCTGCTTGTCCAGTGCCTCCCATTAAGCCTTTGCTGTGTGTCAGGTCCCATGGGGAGCAGAGTCCCCATCACTCAGAAGTGTACCCCATTTCCACATGAGGACATAGGCTCAGGAATGGGCCTCACAGCCTTGTTAGTAAGTTAGTTGCACCTCTGTAATTTGTTTGTATGCCCAGGCTGTCAGGGGAGCCATGGTGACTTAGAGAGCCTCACTGTGCTGCTACTGCCTCCTAGGGCTGTGTCCTCTGCCAGGCAGGGCTCTGGGCTGCTGTCTCAGAGTGATTGTGTGGATGTGGCCCTGCGGTTCTCTGAGAGTGGGGCTGTTGGTGCCTCTGTTAGATGTGAGAGCTGAGACGCACAGGCCTGTGGATAGCTAGTCAGCCCACAGGAGCCCAACTCCCTCCCAGGCAAAGGACTTGCTTTCTGCAACTCCAGAGGGCAGGGACCAGCTGGAGGGAGATGCCAGCTTAGAGGGTAGTGTTTTTATTTTTCCCAGCAGGTGGCTCAGGAATTCCATTGCGCTTCTGTCCAGTAACTAGAAATTGCTGTGGGAAGTTAGGCCAGTCAAGGTGCTGGTGTGAGACTTCTTGACTCTGACCATGTACCCCTTCGCCCTCCTTCCCAGTATCATCTGAACTGCTGTCTGTCGCAGCCCAGACGCTCCTGAGCTCGGACACCAAGGCTCCAGGCAACAGCTCGTGTGGGCCAGATCGGCTGCACACTGTTGGGGGGCCTGGCTCGGCCCGGCCCCGGGCCTTCTCCCACAGTGGGGTTCATGGCCTGGACGGTGGGGAAGACAGCCAGGCGCTGCAGGAACTGACTCAGGTCTGGGGTAGTGCAGGCCACCTGGGGGGTGGGCAGAGAGGGCTGCCCAGGGTGGCCACTCCAGCTGACCCCTCCCTGCCCACCTTTCCTGCAGATGGTGTCTGGCCCTACATCATACTCTGGCCCAAAGCCTTCCACTCAGTATGGCGCTCCGGGCTCCTTCACAGCCCCTGGGGAAGCAGGGGCCTTGGCAGCCAGTGGACGGCCTCCACTACTGCCCACCCGAACCTCTCGTTCCCAGCGTGCGGCCAGCGAGGACATGACCAGTGACGAGGAACGCATGGTCATCTGTGAAGAGGAAGGGGATGATGATGTCATTGGTGAGCAGTGCAGGGATCAGCAGACTCGGGTTGCAAGGGTGGCAGAACTCCAGTCGGTGCCTCTGCTACAGCTGCTGTGCTGTGGGCGCGAGGCAGGCTCAGGCCTTGTTCTAGGATACCCTTAGCCTGGTGGGAGTTCCAGAGGACAAGGAGGCGTGGCTAGACTGTCAGGCACAGAGCCAGGTGCTCTGCCATATGCTGCCGAGTTCTTGCCCTGGTAGACCCAGTGGGCTAAGATGTGGTCATGCCAGACGGCACCCTTGTCTCCTGGGGCAGGGCCCAGGCTCCAGATGGGCCCACACTGTCCCTTCTGCTCCTTCAGCTGATGATGGCTTCAGCACCACTGACATTGATCTCAAGTGCAAGGAGCGGGTGACCGACAGTGAGAGTGGAGACAGCTCTGGGGAAGACCCAGATGGCAACAAGGTGAGGGCTTGGGACACGGTGCTGCACCTGCATGCTCACTGTTGTGTGAGCACGCGGGGAGGCTAAGGTCCGTGAGGAGATTGGGTTATGGCCAGGATGACGGGTGTGGGCTGGGTGCGTGTGGGAACATGATGGGCACTCTCCCTTTCCTCCCCGCCAGAGCTTTGGTCGGAAGGTGTTCTCGCCTGTGATCCGCTCCTCCTTTACCCACTGCCGCCCCACGCTGGACCCTGAGCCCCCCGGACCCCCAGATCCACCCACCGCCTTCAGCAAAGGCTACTGTCCTGCCCCATCTTCTTCCTCGGCTGCCTCATCAACCTCATCAGCTGCATCCTATTCTCTGGGCTCAGGAACCTTCAAAGCGCAGGAGCCGGGACAGGGCAGCGCGGCAGGCCCGCTCCGGCCTCCACCCCCTGGGACTGGGGGCCCATCGACTCCTTCCAAGGCTGCCCGATTCCTCCCAGCGGATCCTGCCCCCTTTCGGAGGAAGAGACCTGAGAGTGTAGGGGGCCTGGAGCCACCAGGTCCCTCAGTCATTGCAGCGCCTCCCAGTGGGGGAGGGGGCATCCTGCAGACCCTGGCCCTGCCCCCGGGCAAGGAGGAGCGGGAAGGCAGTGGAGCCCGAGTACCCTCAGCCCCAGCCCCCTCGTTAGGTTATGGGGCCCCAGCAGCCCCTCTGTCCCGTCCTGCTGCCACCATGGTCACTAATGTGGTGCGGCCGGTCAGTAGCACTCCTGTGCCCATCGCTTCTAAGCCCTTCCCCACCTCTGGCCGGGCTGAGACATCTCCAGCTGACACGGCAGGTGCCAGGACTGAAATGAGCACCGGGTCCAGGGTGCCTGGAGGCTCCCCGCTGGGGGTCAGTTTAGTGTATTCAGACAAAAAGGCAGCGGCAGCCACCTCACCAGCCCCACACTTGGTGGCTGGACCCCTACTGGGCACTGTGGGGAAGGCACCTGCCACTGTTACCAACCTGTTGGTGGGCACCCCAGGCTATGGGGCCCCTGCACCCCCAGCTGTCCAGTTCATTGCCCAGGGGACCCCTGGTGGTGGGACCACTGCAGGCTCAGGAGCAGGTGCTGGGAGTGGCCCTAATGGGCCAGTTCCCCTGGGCATCCTGCAACCAGGTGCTCTGGGAAAGGCTGGGGGCATCACCCAGGTGCAGTACATCCTGCCCACGCTGCCCCAGCAGCTTCAAGTGGCACCTGCCCCAGCACCAGCCCCTGGGACTAAGGCAGCGGCTCCCAGCGGCCCTGCACCCACCACCAGCATCCGTTTCACCCTCCCGCCGGGCACCTCCACCAACGGCAAGGTCCTGGCTGCCACTGCACCCACTCCTGGCATCCCTATCCTGCAGTCTGTACCCTCCGCCCCACCCCCCAAAGGTGAGGCCTGGGCTGGGCAGCGCAAGGAGAGGGGCCACAGGCCTACCTGGCTCTCTGGTAATTGTTTCCTTTTCTTGCCTCTTAACTTCCAGCCCAGTCAGTTTCTCCCGTGCAGGCCCCGCCCCCAGGCGGCTCAGCCCAGCTGCTCCCTGGGAAGGTCCTAGTGCCCCTGGCCGCCCCTAGCATGTCAGTGCGGGGCGGAGGGGCTGGCCAGCCACTGCCCCTGGTGAGCCCACCCTTTTCAGTCCCTGTGCAGAACGGCGCCCAGCCGCCCAGCAAGGTAAGGGCTTCCTGGCCATGGTCTCACCTTTCCCTCATCCCGCTCAGGTTGGCCCCTGTGTCTTCCCCCTTTTCCAGTCTGTGTTGTATCTTTCTTGGGACTCTGGCTTGCTGTCTTCCTTGGTGTCTTTGTGAGTGCATTCTTGAGACTTCAGTATGTGCCCCTTGCTTTGTACATCCCCCGCCTGTGACACTGTCACCTTTCTCACCCCATCCTGATTCCCAGTTCTTTGGTTAGGACCTCTTACCCTCATCCCCACCCCCATATCAGTCCTGCGCCCAGCTGACCCTATGGCTGCTCTTGCCTGCAGATCATCCAGCTAACCCCAGTGTCAGTGAGCACGCCCAGCGGCTTGGGGCCCCCCGTGAGCCCAGCTCCACTTCCTGGGCCCACCTCGCAGCCCCAGAAGGTCCTGCTGCCTTCTTCCACGAGGTAAGGCCAAGTGGTGCCCTCACCTGGAGGCCAGGCAGGGGGTGGGGTGAGGTCCACTCCCCTCGTTCCAACCTGCTTCCTTCTGCGGCAGAATCACCTATGTGCAGTCGGCGGGTAGCCACGCGCTGCCCCTGGGCACCAGTCCTGCCTCTAGCCAAGCTGGAGCAGTCACCTCGTACGGGCCCTCAAGCTCTGTGGCTCTGGGCTTCACCTCGCTCGGGCCCAGTGGCCCTGCCTTCGTGCAGCCCTTGCTCTCAGGTGAGGGACAATTTGGCAGGCAATGCTAGGGACCGGGGTGGGAAGGACTAAGACAGCCCAGGCCCTCACTCAGTCCCTGCCCCTGTCTGTCTCCGCCTCCACAGGCCAAGCCCCACTGCTGGCTCCTGGCCAGGTGGGCGTGTCTCCTGTGCCCAGCCCCCAGCTGCCTCCTGCCTGCACAGCCCCTGGAGGTCCTGTCATCACGGCATTTTACCCTGGCAGCCCTGTACCCACCTCCTCAGCACCCCTGGCCCAGCCATCCCAGGCACCCCCAAGCCTGGTCTACACTGTGGCCACCAGTACCACCCCACCAGCTGCCACCATTCTGCCCAAGGGCCCATCAGCTCCCGCCACTGCCACCCCTGCTCCTTCAAGTCCTTTCCCTAGTGCCACAGGTAGGTGTGTGAGGCACCCAGAGCAGTGGGACTTGGGCTCCAAGGGACATGCACTGTTGGGCCCCGCTCAGCAGAGGCTCTTCTCCCCTGCAGCAGGTTCCATGACATACAGCCTAGTGGCCCCCAAGGCCCAGCGGCCCAGCCCCAAGGCTCCCCAGAAAGTGAAGGCCGCCATCGCTAGCATTCCTGTGGGCTCCTTTGAGGCAGGTGCCTCCGGACGGCCTGGCCCTGCACCCCGACAACCTCTGGAGCCTGGCCCACCCCGTGAACCGACCACACTCGAGTCTGAGCTCGAGGGGCAGCCCACCCAACCGGCCCCTCCACCACCCCCAGAGACCTGGACTCCCACAGCCCGGAGCAGCCCCCCGCCACCCCCGCCCACTGAGGAGCGGCCTGGCACCAAGGGCCCTGAGACCACGGTGAGCACAGGAACTGTTTTTGGACCCCTCTGCTTCCCTCCCTGTCCTGTCCTGCTAGTGTGTGTTGGCTGGATCTCCCCCCATGGGTCTGTGAAGGACTGACTGTCAGCTTAGTCTTGATTCTGGTCTCAACTCCAGTGAGTCTGGGTCTGCCCACTCCTTCCACAGGCCAGCAAGTTCCCCAGTTCGTCTTCAGACTGGCGCGTCCCTGGGCCGGGCCTGGAGAGTCGTGGGGAGCCTCCTACCCCGCCCAGCCCCGCCCCTGCCGCAGCCTCGGGGAGCAGCAGTGAAGGAAGCAGTGGGAGGGTAGCTGGGGACACCCCTGAGCGAAAGGAAGTGGCCAGTGCTGGCAAGAAGGTGAAGGTGCGGCCTCCGCCACTCAAGAAGACCTTTGACTCCGTGGACAAGTGAGCAGGGGCTGGGGTCTTGGAGGAGGGCCTGGGGTCAGCTGCGGGGTGGGGGGGGGAGCCTGCAGAAGAGGCAGGGGAGGTGACCCTGCCTGCTCTCCAGCAGGGTCCTGTCGGAGGTGGATTTTGAGGAGCGCTTTAATGAGCTTCCAGAGTTTCGGCCTGAAGAGGTGCTGCCCTCGCCCACCCTGCAGTCCCTGGCCACCTCTCCCCGGGCCATCCTGGGCTCATACCGCAAGAAGAGGAAAAACTCCACTGGTAAGCGAGCCCTGGGCACCTGTGCTAGGAAGGTTGGGATGTGGGGCCACCTGCACTGAGCTTGCCTCTGTTTGACCAGATCTGGATTCGGCCCCTGAGGATCCCACCTCGCCCAAGCGCAAGATGAGAAGACGCTCCAGCTGCAGCTCGGAGCCCAACACCCCCAAGAGTGCCAAGTGTGAGGGCGACATCTTCACCTTCGACCGCACAGGTACAGGCACGGCTGGGGGGAAGGACAGCAGATTGAGGGTGGCTGCCTGGAGGCTTAGCAGACTATGGGCCTTGGGTGGAGCCTTGATGGCAGCTGCAGTAGCCTTGGCTGTGCCCCTCTGCCCGGGCAGGCACAGAAACTGAAGATGTGCTTGGGGAGCTAGAGTACGACAAGGTGCCATACTCGTCGCTGCGCCGCACCCTGGACCAGCGCCGGGCCCTGGTCATGCAGCTCTTCCAGGACCACGGCTTCTTCCCATCGGGTGAGCAGGCCAGAGCTGACTTGGGTCACTCTAATGGCATCTGACCCATACAGTATCTCTTATGCTGCCTTCCTCTGCTTGCTGTCCGCAGCCCAAGCCACGGCAGCCTTCCAGGCCCGCTACGCAGACATCTTCCCCTCCAAGGTCTGTCTACAGCTGAAGATCCGTGAGGTGCGCCAGAAGATCATGCAGGCAGCCACGCCCACAGAGCAGCCTCCTGGGGCTGAGGCCCCCCTCCCTGTCCCACCCCCTGCTGGCACCGCTGCTGCCCCTGCCCCAACTCCCAGCCCGGCTGGGGGTCCTGACCCCACCTCACCTGGCTCGGACTCGGGCACAGCCCAAGCTGCCCCGCAACTGCCTCCACCCCCAGAGCCAGGGCCTGGACAGCCTGGCTGGGAGGGGCCCCCACAGTCCTCTCCGCCTCCTTCAGGCCCCTCCACAGCTGCTGCAGGCAGGTGAGGGGCTCTTGAGAAGATCCCAGGACCCTCAGTACCTCCCCCTCAGGACACGGACAGTACACAGATGGCAGGAATGGGGGGGCAGGATAGTTTGATCCTCCCCCATAAAGCCATTTTGTCCTTTCCAGTTGGGAGTGGAATGAGGCCTGCACCTCATGTACATACCCCGTTCCTCCAGCTCCCACCCTGGGCTGGGGGCAGCTGAGGGGAAGCTAGGGTGCAGCCTCCTCCACTGAGCACCTCCGCAGAACTTGGGGTGTGTGACCTTCAGAGCTTTTCACTTGTACTTTATGCAAACCGGCTTCTGAGGGCTGCGGGGCAGAGGGCAGTGCAGGCCGTGGCCACAGGGAGGCGCCTGTGGAGTAGGGGAGTTCATGGACCCCTGCTTTCCCCAGAGGGGCTGGACTCAGGTTAGTTTGGGGGTGGCGGCTCCTGCACTTTGCCACAGGCATGGGGTTCTCTCCCCACCCCCTCTGCCCTCCCACCTTGGGTTGTACTTTCTAAGAAGGTGATTTCCCCCACCCATGCCCCATCCCCTGAACAAAACATGTTGATCATGTGCAATATTTCTTACTGTGCCGACAAGCCGCAATGACCGAGATTAAAGCTGTTTAACACACCTGTGTGGTCCTGTGTTTCGGGCTGGGTCGGGGGGCACGGGTGTTGGTTGCACATGACTTGGGTGCCCAGGAGTGGAGTGTACTTGGCACAAAGTGGGACCAGGGAGCAGGCAGCCCCTGTTCAGCTGGGGAGCCCTGGTGCAGAGAACCCTTTTTCCTGCCATCGGATGTGTGGTCTGGGGAAGGCCTGAGACGGGTGCTTCTCCAAGAGGTCCTGCAACCCTTGAAGTTCACCAGCTCACCCAGAGTGCCTTGTTCTCGGTGACTCCTGCTGCCCCCCTGTGGCCTGGCACAGCACTGCAGCCAGGCTAGTGGCTTAACACTGCTCACTCAGCCCGTGGTGGACAGTGCTCACCTTACTGCCAGGGTCAGGGAGCCCCCACAGGAAGTGGCATCTAAACCAGGGCTGGAAACGCAGCGATTCCAGTTAGGGGAAGAGCAGATGCTGCAGGAACAACTTAAGGTGGGCTTTGACCAGGTGAGGCCACTATGTTCCCTACATTCTTGCCTAAACCTGATGTAGGGTAGTGCTGGCATCGCCTGAAGCTCCCTGCTTTGTGTGCAGGAAGATAACTACCCACAAGGAGCACCCTGTGCAGCTGTAGGGTCGCAGACCACAATGAAAATCTGGCTTGTTGGCAGTACCCAGATAGGCTTGGCCACAAAGCAGCAAGCAGGAGCCCAAGGAAGGAGAATTTAATGTTGAGGTCAGATTGGATGTCTAGGGTGTGGGCTCCGGCAGAGGAACACCCTGGCCCTGATCTTGGGCCAGCAGGCGAAGCAGCAGGGAATGCAAGGTCCGGCAGACAGGCGTGTAGCCCAGGCGGCTGAGATGCAGGTAATCATACATGTCGTGGTGGCTGATTGTGCCGTCCGAGTGCACAAAGCCGGGGTCGGCATCCAGGAAGTGAGCCCGTGGGTGGCCTGCTAATGCGGCCCGGACCAGCTCATTCACTTGCCGGTTCTTGTCCCGAAGCGGGTTGGGGTGCTGGCCCCTTGGAAGCAGGCCCTGTAGAGGAACACCCAGTTTTAAGATGGCCTTCCAGCACCTTGGCCTCCTGCTGTGTGCTTCATCTCACTTCCACGGACACACCCCCACAACCACCTCTGATGGGAAACCAGGGAGGAATGAGAACAGGGCGAGCAGGAGTTCTGACTGTATCCTAGCCCCCCGCCCCAACCATAACCTTCTGGGTGTCAGCCCCCTCCCAAGTATTCCTTACAAAAATGTTGACCTCACGGCAAGGAGTCAGTCCCCTCTCAAAGAAGGAGACATCTCAGGAAGTAATGACCCCCTCATTCACTCCAGGAGTGCCCGATGACTTTGGCTACTCAAGTGGCCTTTTGCCCTTCCAGTATCTCCGGCCAGTCCCTTGGCAAGGGGGCTAATGGGCCCCTGAACACATCCTCCGCCACAGCCACCTCGATAGGTGTGGCAAGTTCCCACATGAGAGTCTGCCTTAAGAGCTGCTGCTCTGTGCTGAGGTGCCAAGAGCCATGCCATCCGTGGCTCCATGTCAGGGGTCCCAGCCCACTGCCCTTCTTCCTCATCTGGCCACTTACCAGCACTACGACCCGGGCCTGGGGCTGCCGCTGGTTCACCAGCTGTACGATGGCCTGGATGCCTCCAGACACCTGCTCGGCTGTGTGCCCGTGGTTATTGGTGCCCACCCAGACCACCACAATCTGTGGAGAGAGGGGCCATGAAGAGGAAGCAGCAGTGAGGGTGCAGATACATTTGGCTCCCTCCCCACTGTCAAGCCCTGCTCACCTTGGGCCGGATGTGTTCCAGCTCCCCATTTTCCAGCCGCCACAATACGTGCTGTGTGCTGTCGCCACCGATGCCAAAATTCAGGGCGTGCAGAGGGGAGAAGAGCTCCCGCCAGATCTGTGGGGTACACAGATGGGAGTCATTGGCACAGGCCACTGCCCTCTGTCCAGCTGGTGATTAAACACCATTGGGGCTGGGGGCAGCCTGGCTTTATGGATGCAGGATGGTAATATTTTTCCTGGCACAAATCTCCCTACGGTGAAGCCTGCCTGTAGACCTAGTCTATGGAACATTCCTGGGCTTGAGCCATCCTGGTGACTTTTGGTGTGAGGAACCCCGCTCAGCAGTCGGCCTTCACCTGGGGTGGAGTGTCCATGGCCAACTCCCAGCCGACCCATTAAGCGCTGTGTATTCCACTAAGCAAGCAATAAAGAGCCACACCTCGGCCATCTTCTTACAGGAAAGCCTCCTTTGTATACACAACTCCAACCTGGCAAATTCCAGACACACACAGCCCGGTCCTCTCTGGGGAACGCTGTGCCCCATTTCTGATAAACCACAGGGCCCTCTCTCCCAGGGCACTGGATTGGGTGTGGCAGGAGGAAGGGACCCAGGCCTCACCTCACATTGGTGCATTAGCTGGACCAAGGAGTCCCCGATGAAGACAACTTCAGGCTCTTTATCTTTGCTGTCGGCCACAAACCGATGGTGCTGCCGGGGAGGGAAGGAGGACGCGGGGGGTCAAACAACACGCCAGGCCCCTGGCCTGGGTCTGCCCCTCTTTGCCTCCTCCAGCCGCCCTGTTCCTTCAGACTGCCCTCTTGGGGAGAGGGGGTGGCCCCCAAGCAGGCAGTGAGCGCTACAGGGATCTGGGGTCCTCAGGGAACCCTTCCCCCGCCAGGGGCAAGTGCCGCCCGCCGGATCGCTCACCAGGGACATCCAGCGCCCGTCGCCCTGCACGTCCTGCACCGGCGTGGGCTTGCTAGCTGGATTCTCTTCGCCGCTCATCTTGGCGGCCACAGCTCCCCGCAGGGTGAGCAGCGGAGGTCGCAGCGCCGAGAGGAGGTGGCGGCTCCGCCACGCCCACCCCCCTTTCCGCCAACAATGGACGACCCGCACTCACTCCCGCCGAGCCCGGAGGCCGCTCCCGAGCTCCGCCTCCTCTCCACAGGCGGAAGCCGGCCCTTTCAGGAGGGAATTGGCCTCTCCCTTTGCCCCGTGCTGCCGCGCTTCCTGGCCAGCCCCGCACTACTCGGCCCACGCGCCGGCCAGAGTGGCCAAGGTGGCCAAGGTGGCGAGCGCACCCCGGCCCGCGCCAGGGGCAGGCGAGACCATCCGGCGCCCGCGACGGGGTGCAGGGAGCGACCACTCGCCGCGGTCACGGGGGGGGGGCAGGGCCCTGAGCGGCCGAGAATGCGTGGGGAACACCGAGCGCTCCACCACGGTGTGGGTGTGGGGAGAAAGGAGAAAGAAGCCTTGTGCTGTAGGGCGAGGACAGTGCGCCCAGGACCCCCGCCTGCAGGGCGGGAGGGGCGCTCCATTCATGGGGTGGGGGAGGGGAACTAGTGGACGAGTCCATCTTGGAACCCTGAGAGGGTGTGCACCTGGCTAGGAAGGGGTGCTCCCATTTTGTTCAGACGTAGGGGACCGAAATGGAATAAAAAGCAAAATGTGCACTTGAGCGGCCTGAGTCTAAAGGCGACACTGTAAGGCAGCGCCAGGGCTTTGTGTCCTGGGAGAGTCTGTGTGTGTCTCACGATCCAAGTTGCATATCTTTGTATTCAAGACACCAAGGGCCTAGCATAGAGAATAGCAGAAGGTGCAAAGAGGAAATTAGACACACCAGCAGGGCTGCCTTCCAGCCTGACCCGCCTGCCTGCCACGGATCATCTTGCGGCTCCTCCGCCTCTTGGTTCCCCAGACTGGACAACTTAAGTGGGGTTTGTCTGGGCTCTGAATCCCACATCCACAGGTGGCCAAGGCCACTTAGGGTCTACCTCTGCACCTCCCAGCTCCAAATTAATCTCGTATATCAGTGTCTTAGATGTCCCTGGTTCATGAGGGCCAAGGCTGTGTATGTGTGTTTTGTGTGTTTGGAGGGGGGGGGGGGGTCTCAGTCTTCCCTTAAGTATCTTGTAAGTCCACTCCTGGGGTGGACGTGGCCATCGGTCCCATCCCTTCTGGGTAGACCTACACATAGAGATAAGCTTTATTTGTTGTGCTTTTGTTCCTCCCCTGGAGGCGGGCCTGGTGTATGCTCGTACTTGCTGAATGACTGTTGGGTGAATGGGGGAGATGCTGGCCTTGTCTCAGGGTGCTAGGGCACCGGGTGCGTGTGGGGGTGTGTGGGAACCTTTCCCGGAGCACATCCCAGGCCCAGGCTTTCCTAGAAGGAACGTCTGAACTGGGGTTGAAACATGATGACGACTGGGCAAACAGGAAAAAAAAAACAAAACACCAACAACATGGTTTTATTACAGCGTTATAGTAGAAGCAAGCTTTTCCGAGGTCACAGAGTGGCAGTTTGGGCATTTGAACCCAGACACTCCTTCTCTTGAGCCCCTCTCTGAATCAGGACACCCTGGAGATTCTCTGGGGCTGAAGTCCATGGCTGCTGAGGGACAGCTGGACTTGAGGGCCACCAGGAAACGCCTCGTGCCTCGTGTCTCGTGCCTCTGACCTCAAAGTCTACGGACTGCTGTCTCAGCCAATCAGGATCAAGGGAGACCTTGTGCCCCCTGCCGATTGGTGGATGGGAGGGAGGGGCGGGGCTCTAACGGCGTGTATTCAGTGGTCTGCTCAGGCGACCAGAAAGGCTGTGCGCATGCGTGTGGCGCGCCTGAGGCCCGGAAGGCGACGACGACAAGCGGGGACGCGGCCACTGGCGCCACCTTGGGCGAGAGGCCATTGAGCCCTCAGCCACGTGGGGTGGGACGAGGCCGGGGTTCGTTGGGGCGGGAGAGAGCGAGGGGCCCCTCCCCCTCCAACCGTACCCATCTCCTGTCCTCTCCCTGCCATCCCGTGCTTTACCTCAGCTGTGCCGTGTGCCTCATGTCCCTCCCTGCGTCCCTGCCCCATGTCCAGGCCTCCGTCCCTGAAGGGTCCTCTGTCCCCCTTTCACTCCTCCTGGGCTGCCCCGGGCTCCCCTCAAGATCTTAGCCAAAAGGCAGAGAAGCAATGGAGGCTATTGCTGCTCTCGCTTTCCTGCATGTCTGCCATCACTCCATCCATATTCTGCTTTTTTCTGCCCTGGCTTTCTCCTCTGAAGTCCCTTCTGTTCCACAGAGCTCCTCAGTCTCATGATCCCTCCCTTCTTTCTCCAACTCTTTTTTTGTTCCCTGATGCCTCTTGCAGTTCGTCATGACAATCCTTACCTTTCCGTGCCCCCATGCATCCCACCCCTGATCCGTGCCTGCCCCTGCCATATCCTCTTTCTCACCTCACCCCAAGCCTGCTTTTTTTCACTATCCACTGATGTGTCTTGATCTTTTAGGACTCGATGGATCCTCGGGGGCAAACTCATCAGCCTTTTCAGCGACCAGAGAAAGCTGGGCGTGTTCGACGGCGCAAGACCAGGCGTGAACGGAATGAAGCCCTAGTGGGCAGCCGCCGGCCACTGGCCCGTCAGGAAGCTTCAACAGCCAGTCAGAATCCACCAGTGTTTCTGCGGGATCCTGTGGCTCCCTCTGCCCCCAAGCTCGTAGTCATAACTCAGGGCCGACTCAGCCGGGAGCATAGGGGTCTCTTCAACAATGAAGTGAAATCCCTAGATGTGGCTCGGCTGCTTAAAAGTGGATCCCAAGAACCAGGCACTCCAACGCTGCCCTTCGTACCCTCCTCCCCAAGTCCAGGCAGGGCTCCAGGATCAGCACCAGAGTTGAGGGGCAAAGAGAACCAGGTGCCTGGAGGCTCCGGCCCAGGCCCACCCAGTTCCCCAGAGCTCCCTGGCCTGGGGCAACTTCTGGGGGAGCTACAATGCCAACTGATTCTGCCACATGCTTTCCCCAGGAGGAACCTGGTGCAAGAAGCCAGGGACGCCATTGTGGGCACCCTGCAGGCCTGCCACGGCTGTGTGCCTGACCTTGCTCTGGTGCTCCGGGGCTGCCAGCCACCCTTGCCAGGTGAGCCCACTTCCTGTCCCCAGTGTTCCTTTTTCCCTTCCCTGCTGTAGTTCAGCTGGTTCCTATGCTGATTTCCTCTGTGCCAGGAACCAAGTCCATGGGCGCTGAAAAACAAAGGATGACACCTTCCTGGATCAACGAGCTTGAGCACACTCCAGGAGAGGGGAGACAGAGAAGGCAACAGGAAACCAAGGAGCTGACTTTCACCATGCCTCGCGCCTCCAGTGCTCCTGCTGTACCCAGGGGGAACCAGGCACCATCGAGGGGTCCCTGGCCACCCCCTTTGCCCTCAGTCCCTTCACCATCCCGGTTGGCCTGTGGTCCCCCAACAGCCTTTGATTTGCTAAAAAGCATCTGGCTCGTAGGCACACCACCCCCTCCCCAGCCCTGGGGGGTTGGCCCACCACAGCCCCAGCCTCAGCTGCCATCACCCTTGTTGCCTCGAACCTTTGCCCTGGACTGGAGCCCCAGCCCCCCTGCCCCGCTGCCTAGCCTCTCATGGGTGGTAGCCCAGAGCAGTCCAGAAGCTTGGTCCTTTCCCCCGATGAGACTGTACTGAGTAGTTGAGCCTAGGGCTAGGGGCAGGTGTCCCACATCCCCAGGCATCTCAATAAAATACCTTCTTCATGGTCCTTTGGTCTTCAGTAACCAGCTGCCCCAAATTTTCCCCCTGTGGCTTTCAGTATATTTTAAATATTTGAATTAATTGCCTTTTAGACAGTTTGCTCTTTTTAATCTTTAAAGATTTATTTATTTATTAAAGATTTCTCTTTATTGGAAAGTCAAATTTACAGAGAAAGGGAGAGACAAAAATATCTTCCAGCCACTGGTTCACTCCTCAAGTGGCTGCAACGGCGAGCTGAGCCAATCTGAAGCCAGGAGTCAGGAGCTTTATTTTTATTGGAAAGGTAGAATTGCAGTGTAAAAGAGACAGAAAGATTTGGGGCTTGGTGCAATGGCCTGCTGGCTAAATTCTCACCTTGAACACACCAGGATGCCATATGGGTGCCAGTTTATATCCCAATTGTTCTACTTCCCATCCAGCTACCTGCTTGTTGCCTGGGAAAGTAGAGGAAGATGGCCCAAAGCCTTGGGACCCTGTACCCGTGTGGGAGATATGGAAGAAGCTCTTGGTTCCTGGCTTTGGATCTGCTCAGTTCTGGCCATTGTGGCTGCTTGGGAGTGAACCAGTGAATGGAAGAACTATCTAACTTTCCTTCTCTCTATAAATCTGCCTTTCCAGTAAAAAAGTAAAATGTTAAAAAAAATAATAATCTTACAATCACTGATTCATTCCCCAAGTGGCTGCAATAGCCAGAGCTGAGCTGATATGAAGCCAGAAGCCTGAGCTGCTTCTGGGTCTCTCACCTGGGTGCAGGGTGCCAAGACTTTGAGCCTTCCTCAGCTGCTTTCCCAGGTCACAAGTAGGGAGACGGATGGGAAGTAGAGCAACCAGGACATGAACTGGTGCCCATATGGAATGCTGGAACTTGCAGGTGGAGGATTAGCCTGTAAGCCATTGCACTAGCCCTGACAGTTTGCTTTATTTAAAGAATGTTTTATTTTATGATACAGTTTATATATATATAAAAAATAAAGATTTAGTTATTTTTGTTGCAAAGTCAGGTATAGAGAGAGGAGGAGAGACAGAGAGGAAGATCTTCCATCTGAGGATTCACTCCCCAAGTGGCCACAAGGACCAGAGCTGAGCCAATCTGGAGCCAGGAGCCAAGAACTTCTTCTGGGTCTCCCACACGGGTGCAGGATCTCAAAGCTTTGGGCTGTCCTTGACTGCTCTCCCAGGCCACAAGCAGGGAGCTAGATGGGAAGAGTGGCTGCCAGGATTAGAACTGGTGCTCATATGAGGTCCTGGCACATTCAAGGTGAAGACTAGCTGCTAGGCCACGGCGCCAGGCTGTATGATACAGTTTATTTATTTATTTAGATTTATTTTTATTGGAAAGTCAGATATACAGAGAGGAGGAGAGACAGTGAGAAAGATCTTCTGTCCAATGATTCACTCCCCAAGTGACCTCAATGGCCGATGCTATGCCAATCTGAAGCCAGGATCCAGGAACTTCTTCCAGGTCTTCCACACAAGTGCAGGGTCTCAAGGCTTTGGGCCGCCTATTGCTTTCCCAGGCCACAAGTAAGGAGCTGGATAGGAAGCAGAGCTGCCAGGATCAGGACTGGCACCCATATGGGATCCCGGTGTGTTCAAGGCAAGGACTTTAACTGCTAGGAATATGAAGATGAAGCTGAGGGCCTTGGGCTGTGTGTTGGAGAGCCTTTCTCCCTCTTGTCCTGTGAGGAACCACCCTTGAGGGGACAGGACTGGATGACGCAAGGCCTTATGATGGGCAAGTGGCAGTCATTGCTGCAATGGACCCAGGCAGTGTATTCCAGCTCCCTGTCCCTAGGCAGGCCATTTTCACACCATGGTAGGCAGTGACAGGGCTGGGTATGGTGGCTGTGACTGAGGGCTCTGCCATCTCCTTGGTGCTGGCACCGAGATCAAGTGTCTTGCCTTCTCTTGTGCCTCCTGTGTGTCTGTGGGTGTCACTTCTGGAACACTGGCAACTAGAGGAGGGACACAGCTGGGGGTGCTGCCATGGGGTGGAGATGAGCAATGAAGGACTACTTCAGGACAGGTTGAGTCTAGGAGCTGTGGTTAGGCAGCTTCGAGAAGGAACAGCTTGGGGGAAATGGGTGTGACAAGGAGAAACCAGAGATAATTTGCGAGACTCCCAGAGGGGAGCACTGGGGTGGGATGACGGAGGGAAAGGGGCGTCTTCTTCCACACGGAGTGGGTAGGGAGAGGCTGGGCCATCCCGGAGGAGGGGCAGGGAGCGCAGCGCCCAGCGGCCCCTTTAATCGTGGACGCGCGCTGGCCGGCCCCGCGCGCACTCGCCTCCATCACCGGCCGGAGCGGGAGCCGGAGCGGAGCTGAGCCGGGGCCGGAGCGGCGGAATGAAGCCCCCGCGCGCGCCCGCGCTGCGCCGCCTGCTGCCGCCGCTGCTGCTGCTCCTGTTGCCGCTGCTCCCCCGCGCCCGGGCCAAGTACGTGCGGGGCAACCTCAGCTCCAAGGAGGTGAGCATGCGGAACCCCCCAAGGCTGCTCGGTGGGCCCGGTGGGACCCAAGGGGAGAACGTGCCGCCCCGCCCCCTGCCGCCCTTCCTGAGCGGACCCGGAGATCCACGGGGAACGGGGCCGGGGGCAATGGGGGCTGGGTGCGGGGAGGGGGTGTTCGAGGCTGAAGGGGTGGGGCCGTGGGGTCCAGGCCCGACTTGGGGGTTGCAGGAGGGACGCTGAGGTCAGCGCTGGATGGCCGAGTCGGAGTTTGTCGCGGGGGTGTGGAGGGGGAGGAGGGAGGGGCCGAGGTGGTGCTGAAGGGACAGCACTTTCACTCCGTCCAGAGGCTGGAGTTGCCACGCTCGGCCTCTGTACCCACTCAGGACCAAGAGGGGGACGTGGGACGAGTCCCCAGCGCGGGATGCTTGGTGGGACCACCGTGGGGGCTCGTGGATGACAGGGGTGATGGCAGACAATGGGGTACAGGACAGAAGGTGGCCCAGAGGCACCCCCATTCTCCGGGGTATTTTTCAGGGTGCCCGGGAAACACCAAAGAGTGGTTTTGAAGTGCTAGAAGGGAACGTAGGGGGGCTGGGGCCCAGGGGCTTCTAGGGTTGTGGTTGGAGGGCAGTTGGAGTCCTGGACCCCACAGGGAAGGGATCTGAGGAGAATGTTGAAAGTGACTTGGTCTCTTTGGGAAGCCACGAACCTGAAGGGAGGGAAGGAAAGTTGGAGGTTTCTAATGGAGGAGGTTCATTTAGGGGACTCAGGTGAGAGTCTGAGCAGAGACCCCTTTTCCAGGACTGGGTGTTCCTGACAAGATTTTGCTTCCTCTCGGATTACGGCCGGCTGGACTTCCGTTTCCGCTACCCTGAAGTGAGTCTTGCCCCTGTCACTTGGCCTTCTGGGGCTGGATCCTTACTCCTTTAGTTCCCCCTTCCCTCCTCTCCCCAACTCCCTGTGTGTCCCCCAGTGCCTAATCTCTGGGTCTGCAGGCCAAGTGCTGCCAGAACATCCTGCTGTATTTCGATGACCCCTCCCAGTGGCCCGCCGTGTACAAAGCAGGTGACAAGGTAAGGGTTGGGCTGAGGGTGCTGGAGGGTGGCGAGAAGGTTGCAACCAGCCATGGAGTGAGCCTCTCCTTGCCTCCCCCAGGACTGCCTGGCCAAGGAGTCTGTGATCAGGCCGGAGAACAACCAGGTCATCAACCTCACCACACAGTATGCCTGGTCAGGATGTCAGGTGTGGGATCAGCACCCAGGGTGGGGGTAGAGCTGGGGAGTGGGCAGGTGCTGAAGGAGGCGGGGCTATTTTCAGCCTCCCGTCCCTCCTCAGGTGGTGGCAGAGGAGGGAACCCGCTACCTGAGCTGCTCCAGTGGTCGCAGCTTCCGCTCTGTGCGGGAAAGGTGGTGGTACATCGCTCTCAGCAAGTGTGGGGTAAGGGGTGCAGCAGCGGCCCCCTGGGGCTTGCTCCTCTTTGCTGTCCTGTGGATCCCCTCCCTGCCCAGGGCCACCCTCAAGCCCATACTGTCCCCACAGGGAGATGGGCTGCAGCTGGAGTATGAGATGGTCCTTACCAACGGCAAGTCCTTTTGGACACGGCACTTCTCGGCTGATGAGTTTGGTAAGCAAATGGGGACTCTGAGAGGCCCCGGGAAGTCAACCTAAAGCTGGGCACCCACTGGGGGCTTGACTATTTCTTGCTTTTTGCCATGTGGGCAGGAATCCTGGAGACAGATGTGACCTTCCTCCTCATCTTCATCCTCATCTTTTTCCTCTCCTGTTATTTCGGCTGTGAGTCCAGCAGGAGGCGGGGGACAGGGAGCAGGTGGGAGATGTGGGGAAGTGGGAGCAGGCCAGGGGGTGAGTGGCTGCTCTCCCTTCTGTGTGTGAAGAGCCTCCCCCGCCCGGCCCCCTCCTAGATCTGCTGAAAGGCCGTCAGTTACTGCACACAACTTACAAAATGTTCATGGCTGCTGCGGGAGTGGAAGGTGAGACAAGCTCCAAAACTTTGGTGTGCTGTGGGAGGAGAGACAAGAGATCCCGAAACCAGGGTCTCAGAGAGGAAAGGCTGGGCCAGGGGGAGTAACTGACATGGAGCCTTGGTGGGGGGTGGGGGGTCTCTGCCCTTTTCCCCACCCTAGTCTTGAGCCTGCTGTTTTTCTGCATCTACTGGGGCCAGTACGCCACTGATGGCATAGGCAACGAGAGTGTGAAGATCTTGGGTGAGAAGGAAGCGGGGCCAGGGGTGGCAGAGCCCTGGGCGGGGTCGGGGTCCTCTCTGAGCCGCCCTTTCCTCCCTTCTCCCAGCCAAGCTGCTCTTCTCCTCCAGCTTCCTCATCTTCCTCCTGATGCTCATCCTCCTGGGGAAGGGATTCACGGTGACACGGTGCCCGGGCGGGGAGTCCTTATAGGGTGGCTGGGTAGGGGGTGGAGGAGAGTGAGGATGGGGGAGCCGGGTGAGGGGTGGGCGTACTGCCCCCTCCTCCCTGACGGCCCCCACCCCTGCTGTCCTCTCTCATGGCCTGCTGTCAGGGGCCGCATCAGCCACTCCGGCTCTGTGAAGTTGTCTGTCTACATGACCCTGTACACGCTCACCCACGTGGTGCTGCTCATCTATGAGGCAGAAGTGAGTCCCTGAGGCCCCCATGGGGTCCCACCCCCTCCTCCCCTCTTCTGCAAAGCTTCTTGCTCACCTGTTTCCCTCACTCCTAAATTTTGCGCCTTCCTGTCTAAGTGAGCTTCCCTCTCCTTCTCCCACTGTCTCTCACTGCTGTCTGTCAAATTTATGCTCCATGACAAAAACTTCTGGAACAGACTTGGATGCTGCTGGGACCCCACAGACCTGAGTGGCGTGCTGGTTCTCCCACTCACAATCTGCCTGGCACTGGGTAGTGAACCCCCTCTCTCTCTGGGCCTGTTTCTTCTTGGGAAGAATTAGAAGGGCCTACTCAGAGGCTGTGCATCCCTACCATGCCTTCTGACTTAGCCTCGGTCTCCTCCTCCATGGAGTGCTATAAGACACCCCCCCAACTCCACCAGCTGAACTGATTCTGCTGGAAAAGCTCACACCTGGGAGTGTCCCATCCCATGCTGGGCAAATGGTGGCTGACGGGTTCCTGTCTCCCTGGCTCTCCTGCTGCTCCCCTTGGGGCCCAGGGGGTGGGGTTCTGGAGACCTTGGTGGAAGACAGGAAGGCTCTGACAAATTTTCTCTTGTGGGTCCAGTTCTTTGACCCAGGTCAGGTACTGTACACGTATGAGTCTCCCGCCGGCTACGGGCTCATCGGGCTGCAGGTGGCAGCCTACGTGTGGTTCTGCTATGCCGTGCTCGTCTCCCTGCGCCACTTCCCGGAGAAGCAGCCCTTCTATGTGCCGTTCTTTGCGGCCTACACCCTCTGGTGAGACGTGCCGGATTCCCACCCTGTCCCTGCCTCCTAGGGCTACCCTGACGCGGTTGTAGTCCCCACTGAGGAAACTGGGCTTTCAAGTCAGGCTACCACCCAGAATCTGCAACTTGTGGCTCAGGAAAATTACTTTACTGAAGGTTTTTTTTTTTTTAAGGGTATATTTATTTTTATCAGAAAGTCAGATATACAGAGAGAAGGACAGACAGAGAGAAATATCTTCTGTCCGATGATTCACTCCCAAAGTGACTGCAATGGCCGGTACTGCGCCCATCCGAAGTCAGGAACTCCTCCGGGTCTCTCATGTGGGTGCAGGGTACTAAAGCTTTGGGCCGTCCTCGATTACGTTCCCAGGCCACAAGCAGGGAGCTGGATGGGAAGCGGGGCTGCCGGGATTAGAACCGGCACCCATATGGGATCCTGGCGCATCTAAGGCGAAGACTTTAGCTACCAGGCCACTGCACCGGGCCCCCCTTCCCCCTTTTTAACACAAACTATAATATCCTGCAAAGCTGGCCTTGAGCATGCCTAGTTTGGTGCTTGATTACACAGTAGATGCTTTTTAAAAATTTGTTTTAAGATTTCTTTAGATTTATTGGAAAGGCAGATATACAGAGAGGAGGAGAGACAGAGAGGAAGATATTCCGTCCACTGATTCACTGCCCAAGTGACCTCAATGGCCGGAGCTGAGCCAATCCAAAGCCAGGAGCCAGGAGCTTCTTCCAGGTCTCCCACGTGGGTGCAGGGTCCCAAAGCTTTGGGCCATCCTCGACTGCTTTCCCAGGCCACAAGCAGGGAGCTGATGGGAAGTAGAGCTGCTGGGATTAGAACTGGCGCCCATATGGGATCCTGGAACGTGCAAGGCGAGGACCTTAACCACTACGCTATCGTGCGGGCCCACACAGTAGATGCTTAACAAAACTCCTTGGAATTGTTACTGTTCAATATAACATAGCAGTAAAGGAAGTGGATTGCAAGCCAGACTTCCTGGCTGCAGATCCAAGTCCTAAAGCTTATAAACTCTGTGACCCAAAATGAGATAGGGACTGAGATCTTCCATCTGCTGGTTTACCCCCTCAATTGCTACAGCCGCCAGGCCATGGCCAGGCAGAAACCTGGAGCATGGAACTCTGCCCTGCTCTCCTACATGGGTGCAGGGTCCCAGGTACTTGAGCCATCTTGGGCTGCCTTCCCCAGCACATTGCAGATGAATTGGAAGTTAAGCAGCCCAGACTGGGACTGGTGCTTCCATGGGATGCTTAATTCTATGTACTGCAACGTTGACCCCAGCTGAGTTAAATGTATCCATCTCCCCAAGAATTCCCCCAGATCAGTGGGATTCCAGACCCCCCTTTCAGCTTCTGGCTTCTGAAAGTTATAGTGGTTTTCCTCAGGTGTTTGGGAGCTGTGTGTGCCTGGCAAGGGAGGAAGGGGGCCCTGGGCTGGAGTGGAGGGCAGGGGCAGCGTTTCTCTGAACCCAGTGCCTCTCCTTCAGGTTCTTTGCAGTTCCAGTCATGGCCCTCATTGCCAATTTTGGGATCCCCAAGTGGGCCCGGGAGAAGATCGTCAATGGCATCCAGCTGGGGATCCACTTGTATGCCCACGGCGTGTTCCTGGTGAGGATGGGATACCAAGGACCGAGAATGCCTGAAGCCCCCGCCTCGGCCCCGCCCGGGCCTCCTGTCCTGGCTCTTGGTCCATTTCATCCTTAGTCATTCACCTCTCCTGTCACTCACCAGACACTCTGTCAGAATCTGCAGGCTACTCAGCTGTGTTCCCTCAAATCCACCCTCTCCTCTTCTTTGCTTTAGGTCCCGCCTCTTTCCCCCTCCCATCCTCTTTCTTTGATCCTGCACCCCCATTTCCATTCCTAATTGCTCACATACTCCTCCACATCCCTACTACCTTCCCCAGTACCTTGGTCTCTACCTCACTCCCCCACCCCCACGTTCTCCCACTGCAGTAATTATCAGGATGCAGCTGAGAGGGGGAGGGATGGGGGTCCTAGGAGCAGGGAGAGGGGGGTATGGGTTATGGGGGCTGGTGCTGTGGCAAGGGTGGTGGTGATGGTTAATTGGTGTCTAGATCTGATTAGGGTGTCTAGATCTAAGCATCAGAATGGTTCTGGAAACAAGTTTAGTCTGTTCTGATTCATATCCTATCTCACCTTCTTCATCTTAAGATATATGTATTTGAAAGACATAGTGAGAGAGAGAGAGAGAGAGAGAGAGCGAGCGCTCTTCGATCCACTGATTCACTCCTCTAAATGGTTGCAATGGTTGAGACTGGGCCAGGCTGAAGACGGGAGCTAGGCACTTCACTGCAGTCTCCTAGGCCTATCTAATTTTCTTGATGACAGTTCTCAAGTTTGTTTATCCACTAGCTGTTTGCCCGGCATCTGTTCATGCTAGCAGTGTTTGTAGGCATTTACCCCTGCCCACTTTCCTCTTGTTTAACTGTCAGAGTGGCCCCTGGTGAGGCTGAGGAGTGGTCATTGTACCCAGAGTACAGAGAGGGGAAGAAAAGGCCCAGAGATGGGAGACAGCCCGTCATGGCTCCATGGCCTTTGATGGTAGGGCAGGCTCTTTGAACCCTGTCCTTCTCAGGCAAGGTTTGCCTAAAAGGGAGCCAGGAAGGGGACCTGTCATCCCCGAAGGCCTGCAGTATGTTCTGTGTAAGGCCTGGATTCAGCTGTCTGGGAAGGGGGGTGGTCTCCTGTTCTCCACCGCAGAGTCTGACTTTAGGGTACTAACGTGGGTGGCTTCCTGGTCTGGCCTATAATGGAAATTCTGTAGGAAGTCAGAAAGGGGCAGAAAAAGGAGGAGTGCTGAGAACCTTCCTGGACCAGTCCCTGCCATTCTCATTTCCACCTTCTCATCTTTCCAAGTAGGCCCTACGGTGCCTTTCCCAGGCCATGTAATCAGCTCGCCCCAGATCTCACACTCAGGGAGCTCCGGCACCCAGCGGTTCAGACCGCCAAACGCAGTGCCCTTGCTTTTATTTCACCTTCAGCTGGCTTCTTTCCTGGACGTGCTCATGTTTGCTCAGCGCGGCTCCACCGCTGGCATCCTGCCATGCTTTGAATTTGAGCTCCTTGCTCCTTTATCCAACACAATCTTAGGGAAGTGTGCTGGGCTGAACCCAGTCCCTTCATCCCTACACTTGACCAATATTTGTTGAGGGTTTGTTTGCGCCAACCACTGGTCTAAAGTTGAGTCTCTCTCTTTGTCTAAATTCATTTTATTTAAAAGGCAAAGACAGAGAGGTACAGGCATCTTCCATTTACTGGCTGACTCCCCAGATGGTCAAAGCTGGGTCAGGTTGAAGCCAGAAGCCCAGCATTAGGACCCGCATGGTGGCAAGCAAGCTCATCTTCCACCTGCAAGTGCCAACATCCCATACAGGTACCAGTTTCTATCCTGGGTGCTCCACTTCTGATCCAGCTCCCTGCTTATGACCCAAGAAAGTAGCAGAGGCTGGTCCAAGTACTTATGTCTCTTACACCCATGTGGGAGTCCTGGAAAGAAGTTCCTGGTTTCTGCCTTCCGATCAGCTCAGCTCTAGCCGTTGTAGCTGTTTGGGGATTGAATCAGCAGATGGATGATCTCTCTCAGTCTCTCTTCCTTTCTCTGTAAAATCTGTCTTTCCAATAAAAATAAATCTTTTTTTTTTTGGTTATTTAAAAACATTTACTTTTTATTTTCAGTACAAAGTCAGATATATATAGAGGAGGAGAGACAGAGAGGAAGATCTTTCATCTGATGATTCACTCTCCAAGTAAGTGCAACAGCCGGTGCTGTGCCAATCTGGAGCCAGGAGCCAGGAGCTTCTTCTAGGTCTCCCACACGTAGGTGCAGGGTCCCAAGGCTTTGGGCCGTCCTCAACTGCTTTCCCAGGACACAAGCAGGGAGCTGGATGGGAAGTGGTGCTGCTGGGATTAGAGCTGGCACCCATGTGGGATCCCGGGCGTTCAAGGCGAGGACTTTAGCCACTAGACAATGGTGCCGGGCCCAAAAATAAATCTTTTTTTTTTTTTTAAAGATTTATTTTTATTGGAAAGGCAGATATACAGAGAGGAAAGACAGAGAGGAAGATCTTCCGTCCACTGATTCACTCCTCAGGCGGCTGCAACGGCTGGAGCTGAGCCAATCCGAAGCCAGGAGCCTCTTCTGGTCTCCCATGCGGTGCAGGATCACAAGGCTTTGGGCCGTCCTCGACTGCTTTCCCAGGCCACAGGCAGGGAGCTGGATGGGAAGCGGGGCTGCCGGGATTAGAACCGGCACCCATATGGGATTCCCGGCGTGCAAGGCGAAGACCTTAACCACTGCGCCATCGCACCAGGCCCCAAAAATAAATCTTAAAACAAAACAGAAGCCCAGTACTCCCATGTGGGTCTCCCAAATGGGTTGCAGAGATTCATGTACTTGAGCCCCAAGCACTGTTCTAGAAGGTTCCGGGGATTCTGGATTCTGCAGCAATACAGAAGGCTTTACCCTCCTGAGGGCTGGCTGACATACAGACTATTAATTGCTGTTCAACTGAACTTTCTGTCGATGAACATATTCTAGTCTGTGTTGCCCAGTGAGGAGGCTACCCAGAACATGTGGCACTGAACACTTGAGTGTAATTTTAGTTTACGTTTTAAAAAACAAGATTGATTTATTCTTATTGAAAAGCAGATTTGCAGAGAGGAGACAGAGAAATGTCTTCCATCTGCTGGTTCAGGCCCCAAGTGACCACAACAGCCACTGTAACCTGAGCCAATCCGAAGCCAGGAGCCAGAAGCTTCTTCTCAGGCCATCCTGCTCTGCTTTCCTAGAAGGGGGAGCTGGATGGGAAGTGAAGCAGCTAGGACATGAAGCTGCACCCATATGGGATGCTGGAGCCTGGAGGCAGATTAGCCGATTGAGCCATTGCGTTGGCTCCTTAATTTACTTTTGATTAAACTCCAGCCCCGTGTGACTATAGTTATGATACTGATGGGCCAGTGACCAGGGGGTGCTGTTGAGGAAGCAGAGGTCAGAGTAACGGGTTGTGTTGGAGAGAAAAAGGGTAGAGATTAGAAACCAGTTCAGGCCGAGGCTGCACAGGAAGAGTGGGAACTGCAAGTGAAGGGAAATTCTTAGGGCCCCAAGTTTAGGAAGACAGTGGTGGGCCTGGACAGTGCTTTTCCAACCTCTGCTTGGCCACTTGCCCCAGATCATGACTCGCCCATCGGCGGCCAACAAGAACTTCCCGTACCACGTGCGCACGTCGCAGATCGCCTCAGCTGGGACCCCAGGACCAGGAGGGAGCCAAGCGGGGGACAAGGCCTTTCCTCAGCACGTCTATGGGAACGTGACGTTCATCAGCGACTCGGTGCCCAACTTCACGGAGCTCTTCTCCATCCCCCCGCCCACCTCCTCCGTAAGCCCCGAGGCCCCAGCGCCCGAGGAGCTGCTGGCGCCGCCCCTGGAATACCTGACCCCAGTCCCGGCCCCGCCGCCGCCGCCCCCTGCACCTCCCACGCCCGGGCACCTGAGCCCGCCCCCTGCCTTCCGCACGCCCCGCGTCCCCACGCCGCGCCGCGACCATCCCCCGGCGCCCGCGCCCACCCTGCCGGACTGGGTCCTGGCGGTATTGCGCACGCCCCCACGGACGCCGCGCGCTGTGCTCCCGCCGCCCGCTTTCCGCGGCTCTGCCCCTGCTCCCCGGCCGCCGCCGGAGTTTGCCCGCCGCACCCCGACGCCGCCCCTTGAGTACCTGGCCCCGCTGCCCAGGCGCCCTCCCGCCCACTCCTTCCCTGATTGACACGTACGTCCCTACCTGGGGTGGTGGGGTCCTCTAGGGGGAGGGGGACGGGCCTTCGGGGCCGCATCTGCCCCTCCCCCCCGAGGGTTCCGAGCGACCTCTGACCCTGACCCCCCATCCCAGGCCGGGAAGCAGGTGGAGGAGACAGCGGTAGCGGCGGCGGTGGCCCCGAGGGGCCGCGTGGTGACCATGGCGGAGCCGGGCGCAGCCTCCCCGCCCCCTCCCGCTCGGTTTCCCAAGGCGGCCGACCCGAGCTGGGATGGCCCGACGCCCCCCTACCAGCCGCTCGTACCCCAGACGGCGGCGCCGCACACCGGCTTCACCGAATACTTCAGCATGCACACGGCCGGGGGCAACGCACCCCCGGTCTGAGCACCCCCGACCCTTTAGGGCCGTGCACCGGGCCCCGGCTGGGCTCCGGATCGCCTCCCAACTCCCCAACACCCCCCACAACAGCCCCGAGTCCAGGGCTCGGCCATCCTAGGCCTCCCGACCCTCCCCAGCCCAGTCCACGCTCCCCAACGGGGAGCGCTGCGTCCCGTCCCCCCCGACCCCCTCTCTTCTTGTGCCAAACGGTCCCGCGGGAGCCGCTCTCCCCATCCCCTCCCTCAGCCCCTGCCCCGAATGGCGCCGGATTCTGGGCTCCCGCTCTTCCGTGATCTCCGGCCCCCCGGCCCCCTCCGAGACCTCTGACCCCGCCGGACTCCGGAGCATCCGTGACGACGCCCGCCGGGACGCTGCCCACGCGGACTCCCCAGGACCCGCGACCCCGAGCCGCCGATCCCGGGACGGAGATGGTGACGCCGGTCTCGACTCACAAACCCTCCCTCGGACCTGTGACCTCGGGCCCGCGGGCTGTCCGCTCCGGGAGCCTTCCCTCAGGCCCCTGGCAGAAAGACTCTCCCTCTCCCGCTCCCCCCATTTCTCCCACCATCTTGCCAAAATAAAGGGGGTTCGTTGAGTTTTTAATCTACAACATGTCTGTCTTGAACATCTTGGTGGTATCCGCCGGCGGGGCTGCTCAAAAACCCTCTCTGGCTTGGGCCCTCTGTCCATATTTGAAAATGGCACGTTGGGACCCCACAGCCTGTCTTGACCCCGAATCTAGCCGAACCCTCTCAGGGATCATCTCCCCTATTTCCACTTCTCCAGGTAGAGACGCCCTCCAGTGGCTCAGGCTTCCCTCAGCCTCCCGCGTCCCCCAATAGAACTTTCGCTCCCAGCATTGCGCACGCGTCAGGCTCTCCACGGCCCGAGGAGGTCGCTGTTGCGCTTGCGTTTAAAGAACCAACTGGGCGGGGAAGTTGCCGGAAGCTTCGCCTCCTGGAGGGGTGGGACTGGGCGCTCCGCAGTCCTCCCAGGGCCGCTCTGACCTGCCGGGCTGCAACTTCTCGCCTCCTCTCCTCGCACCCTCCCTCGGCGGCCGCTCGGCTCCCGCCCCCTCGCCTTCCCAGCGGGTCTTCCCGAGGCCGCTCTGGCCCGAGCGTCCCCTCATCTCTCTGATCCTGCTCGGGAGAGAGGCGCGGGTGGGTGAGCGAAGGCTGCAGGGGATATGGGGTCCGGGTTCGGACCTCAGAAGACCGGCACTGACTCCGGCACCCGTTCGCGCCCCGCCCCTGACTGGAGAGCTTTTTCCGGGACCCTTCAGGCTTGGCTGGTCCCGACCCCCCACTCTCTGTAGAGGCCCCTGCTGGGCGGTAGAGCCCTGCGCCCCCCTGGGGACCCACCCGTCTGTAAGGTCCGTTTTGGCCTGCAGCAGCCTGAATCTGTAACTACTAGACACTGTTTATGGAGTCGGACCCCCTATGGGGCTCCATGTTTGTAGGGGACCTCTCTGGTCCGTAGGGATCGACCCTGGCTGTAACGATCCCATATATAGGGTCTTGCATGGGTCTGTAGGGCCCACCGCTCGGCTTCCAGGACCGGTCATCCGCGGCCGTTCCCTCCTCAGGGACTGCGTCTCGCTGACCTCCCCAGTCTACAAGGCCGTGCTATGCCTATAGAGGTTGCATTTGCAGCCCTTCACCCCGGGTGGAGGGTCCTCTCCGGCTCTTAACGGTCCTTCCCATTTCTAAGGGTCATTGCGGGAGGCAGCGATGGCCCCGGGCTGGACACTGTCCACTGCCCTGGCCCTGGCTCTGGCCTTGGCCGTACTGGGGCCGCTGTCCCCCGGAGTCCGGGCGGGGGACTGCAAGGGGCAGCGGCAGGTGTTACGGGAGGCTCCAGGCTTCGTGACGGATGGTGCCGGCAACTACAGCGTCAATGGCAACTGCGAGTGGCTCATCGAGGGTGAGTGGGTCCGCGTGGGTCACTCGCTCATTGCTAGTCAGTTCATTTGTGCATCCCTCCACTGAGATTCCCAGAACCCCCTAGCTCATGTGCAGTAAATGGTATTAGGATTGTTTAATGTCACTTTTAAAGTACTTTAATAAGAGAATCTCCTTCCCTCCCTCCCCCAGATATTATATTTGCTACTAGGACATGGCTGATACCAAGACAACCCCGATGAACTTTAGTGACTTAAGGGCTTGGAGCCAGACATGATAACAGGTGGTGGGCAGCCCAGAGTGGCCTGTGATGGAGGGAGCCTCTGGGGCAGGGAGATTCCATAGAAGTGCTGGTCCTAGGGATAGAGGAGGCCAGAGAACTTTCTGGAGGAGGAGAAGTGTGAGCTGAGAGTTAAGGGACCAGCTGGAGCCCATTGGGGAGAAAGGAGAGAAGGATGGAAACCCCCGGGGAGGAGGTGGGAGGAAGAACATTCTATAAAGAGGGACCCGCCTCTGCAAGGGCCCCACCCTTGCCCCTTTGGAGCCCACAGTCAGGGAGTTGAGATAAAGGGGTTTCCCACACAAAGGCCTGAAAGTGGGGGCACAGGCTGCTGCAGAGGGACGGGAAAGCAGGTGCCATAGTGTCGCCTGTGAGGGAGCTGTAGCTGCAGCATGAGGGCAGGAGAGTGTGGAAGAACGTCAGAGGTCCCGGCCAGGGGAGGCCCGGGAGGTTGCGGAGCTGTGGTGGGGTTCCAAGCAAGGGGAGGGCCTGGTCTGCTGTATGTTTGGCTGCTCGGCGGGGAGGGAGGGTAAGGATGAAGGCATTATTTCTTGGGGTGATTGTGTCTGTCCCCGGCTCGGGTTCTGTTCCTGTCACGCTGAGGGGTAAGCATAGACTAAGAGGCAGGGAGAGTGTAAATGGTCCTCTACACCCGGATGGGTTGGGCGCAGTGGACCTGACCCCGGCCTTTTAGCCCCCCACCCTGTGTGCTTTGACAGTGAGACCCGGGGAGGCACGGAGGCTGTCCATCGGAAGTTACAGAGCAGGAGCTGCAGAAGCAGGGTTCTAAAGCCTGCATAGGAGTTTACTGGGCGGGCTGAAGGAGCAGCCCAAGACATGAGGTGGAGCGAAAGTGTCTCAGGATCCAGGCTGCACTAAAGACAGAATTGGAGATGGAGCCAGAAGCCAGGGAAGGAGAAGGGTCTGGGTGTTTGGGAAATTTCACTGATGGGACATGGAGCCCCGCTGACGGGCTGATGGTTGAGGCGGGGAGCATGGGAGGCCTGCAGCCTGGGCCGTCACTTCTAAGAATTGGCATCTCCCTGAGTCTCTTACAAGACGAGCAGCCAGCACACCTGCTTCTGTGCCCCGTCCACCCCTATGCCCCAAGTGCTCAGAGCATCCTGCCACTGCGCTGCGGGTTTGGGGATCAGGTTTCTGTCCAGTAAGGTGTGGGGGTGGGGTGGGGTAGAAATCGGAGACCTTGAACTTGAGGAACTTGAGGAAGACCAGGTTGGGCTGTGGCCTCCGCTGGCACTTGACAAAGGCAGGCTTGTTGTGATTCCAGGAAAGGAACTTCACAGCTGGGTGGAGCTGGTGACCTTCTGGGAGGTCTGGGTGCCCGTTGTGCTGCATGGTCCTTCTGCCTGCCCCAGACCACGGGTGGAGACCTGTGGACCATGTTCCCGGTTCTCTGGTTGGAGCCTGAGGAAGAGCTGCCAGCCACAGTACTGGTTTCTGTTCTTTTTTTTTTTTTTGCATTTCTTCATTCTGTCTCTGGCTTTTTCCTGAGTCTGCCAGGCCTTGTGCCAGGCCATCCTGGGGGACACGGAATGAGGGTCAGGTTGCAGGCCCTTCCCTGCAGGTCTCATCAGCCACAGGGTAGAGAGACCCGGGCACCGAAAGTCCTGACTGGCAGTAATAAAGGTTGTAATGAGGCATGACGGGCAACCTCAGCCAGCCAGGGGGCATCAGGAAAGGCTTTCTGGAGGAAGAAGGGAAACTTCCAGAAGCTTCTGGAAGAATGTGTCCCAACCAGAATGAGAGACCTGTTGGAAGGCCCAGGTACTGAAAGAGCTGCAGGTGGTAGAGCAGTGGAACTAAGACCAGGCTCTGGGTTGGGGAGCTTTATCCTTGGATGGTGAGGGACCATCCTAGGGTAAATACATCACATCAGAATAAGGTTCGGGGTCAGGCAGGGAAGGGGACTAGCTCAGGGATCCTGGTGAGAGAGGACGAGGGCTGCGCTGGGCAGGGCACCCTATAGAGCACCCTGGAGTCAGCATCTCATTGAGCGATTGCACCAGTGTTGGTAGAATTAGTGCCACTTTACAGGAGATTGAGGCTCGGGAGCCCCATGACTCCGGCCCCGCACCACACAGCTGGTGCCAGTAGTGGATGTACAGGTTTCTGGGTTTTTTAAGGGTCTGCATGAGGATGTGTAGGGTCATGTGGAAAGAACAGTGTAGGGTGTATACCATGGTGCAGTAGGCTAAGCTTCTGTCTGTAGTATCAGCATTCCATATGGGTGCTGGTTCATGTCCCAGATGTTCCACTCTCCATCCAGCTCCCTGCTTGTGACCTGGGAAAGCAGTGGAGGACGGCTCAAGTCCTTGGGCCCCTGCACCCTTGTGGGTGACTCAGAAGCTCCTGGCTTTAGATTGGCTAGGCTTCAGCCATTGTGGCCATTTGGGGGATGAAACAGTGGATGGAAGATTGATCTCTCTCATCTCTTTAGCTCTTTCAAATAACAATAAAATAAATATTTAGAAAAAAAAAAGGGGGGGGGGGCAGTGCTCTTCTTGCTCTTCTGGCAGAGCAAGAGCAGCAGCCATTAGCAACAGCTCGGCTCTCGCTCCGCGGGCAGTGGCCGTTAGTGGCAGCCCGGCTCTGGCTCCGCAGGCAGTGGCTTATCAGTGGCCTGGCTCTGGCTCTGGCTCCGTGGGCAGTGGCCGTTAGTGGCGGCCCGGCTCTCGTTCCTCGGGCAGTGGCCATTATCAGTGGCCTGGCTCTGGCTCCATGGGCAGTGGCCATTATCAGTGGCCTGGCTCTGGCTCCATGGGCAGTGGCCATTATCAGTGGCCTGGCTCTGGCTCCGTAGGCAGTGGCCATTATCAGTGGCCTGGCTCTGGCTCCATGGGCAGTGGCCATTATCAGTGGCCTGGCTCTGGCTCCGTGGGCAGTGGCCGTTAGTGGCGGCCCGGCTCTGGCTCCGTGGGCAGTGGCCATTATCAGTGGCCTGGCTCTCGCTCCGCAGGCAATGGCCATTATCAGTGGCCTGGCTCTGGCTCCGTGGGCAGTGGCCGTTAGTGGCAGCCCGGCTCTGGCTCCGTGGGCAGTGGCCGTTAGTGGCGGCCCGGCTCTCGCTCCTCAGGCAGTGGCTGTTAGTGGCGGCCCGGCTCTGGCTCCGTGGGCAGTGGCTTATCAGTGGCTGCCCGGCTCTCGCTCCTCAGGCAGTGGCTGTTAGTGGCGGCCCGGCTCTGGCTCCGTGGGCAGTGGCTTATCAGTGGCTTGGCTCTCGCTCCATGGGTTGGGCCCTTCTGGAGACACTTGAGGAGCATGATCATTCCTTCTCCGTGGTCACAGTCTCCTGGCAGCCAGGGCTACCTCCTCTGGGTGCTTCCTTGGCTTGGGTCACCAAGAAGGTCCCTTTGGGCCTTGGCCATTGATGCTGGCTGCCAGCTGGAGCTGCTGGCTGGTGTGTGTCCA